TTGCGGTCTGTGCAGCCTCTAGCTCCTGACGGAGCTCAGCAGGCTCGGCAGCTCGACTCGGACTGGGCGGCCTGCAGTTCGGCCACTTGCTTCTCCGCCTCGGCGGCCTTTGCCTGTGCAGCCTCTAGCTCCTGACGGAGCTCAGCAGTCGACTCGGACTGGGCGGCCTGCAGTTCGGCCACTTGCTTCTCCGCCTCGGCGGCCTTTGCCTGTGCAGCCTCTAGCTCCTGACGGAGCTCAGCAGTCGACTCGGACTGGGCGGCCTGCAGTTCGGCCACTTGCTTCTCCGCCTCGGCGGCCTTTGCCTGTGCAGCCTCTAGCTCCTGACGGAGCTCAGCAGTCGACTCGGACTGGGCGGCCTGCAGTTCGGCCACTTGCTTCTCCGCCTCGGCGGCCTTTGCCTGTGCAGCCTCTAGCTCCTGACGAAGCTCACTTGACACCTTCTCAAGCGCAGATACGGCCTCCGCGTGTTCCGTTTCATTGGCAGTCAACTTTGTACGAATATCGGCAAGCTCCTCCTCCGACTTCATTGAGCGCGCTTGGCTTGCCTCGAGTTCTTCAGCTGCCGCCTTGAGTTGGCTCTGAACACTTTCAAGCTCAGTGCGCAGCTCAGATGTGCTTGAGGCTTGCGTGGCCTCATTCGATTGCAGCTGCTCTCGCATTTGCTGCACTGCATGCTCCAGTTGTTCTTTTTCGTCTGCTGTAGCTTGAAGTTCACGTATTTGCTCCAGCGCATGGTCACGAGCTGACTCCGCAGTGGCCAAAACGTTTTCAAGTTGTTCCATTTGAGGTCCTAGCGCCTCGAGTTCGTCATTCCGCGCAGATAGAGTCGCTTGTTGCTCCTGGAGTGCCGTGAGCTTTGCATTCAATGTCTCAATCTGAGAGAGCGCTGCCTCGTGCTCCGCCTGCAAAGCTTGGGTGGTTGCAGCGTGTGTGGATGCCTCGTTCTGAACCTGTCACGAACAAGTTGATTTCAAAGCAAGCAAAAAGGCCGCATCAGTCACACAAAGCAGGTTGTTCGCTTGTATTTTTTTATCTCTCTTCCTTCTTTTATTTTCGTTGAAGAGTTCCTGTACCTGAGTCATTTCGCTGAGGCTTTGCTGCAAGGTATCTCGCTCCACCTTGACAGCGTTTAACTCGGTCTGCAAAGCGTTGGCAGCAGCATCCCCAGCGGCTGTGGCGTCTAGATCAGCGGCGCAGGAGATCGATCCCCGGAATGTCAGTTGGGTGGCGTGCGATTCGAGGCAAAAGAGAAGACGAGCGGCTGGAACTGGTCTTGATGTCAGAATAGATACCTTCAAGCAGGTCGCTGTGGCGTGAAAGGTATTCCACGAGCTCTTGCTCTTCGATTCTGCCGTCTTGGTTGGCATCAAGGTCGTTCCAGAGCTCAACCCAAGACAGATTGGTCAGTTTGAGCTCAGCTCGCAGCTCGTCGTTGCCCTTTAATACCTTTTTCAGCTACCAAGATGACAGGCGAAACAACAGGGATATACATCAAAGACTTGGTTCCGCAAACAAACACTTTCCAAGATCAGGTCAAAGGCATGAGAGGCCACAAGACTGACTTCGTTGTGACTCAGCCATCCATTGCCATCTCGGTCTGCCTCGTGGAAGATTTCACGAGCGCGCGAGATAGCACGCTCGGTGGCTGACTGCGAGAGGTGTTCAACCTGCGCACGCAGACTCTCGGTCACATATGACATTTCCGCCAACTTGGACGTCAGCTCTTCCTTCTCAGAGCTATGAAGAGGCCGCAGTCAGGGCAGATTGAGGATAATTGAAGCTCGCGCCTTGGTGAAGAGAGAGAAGGCGCTTACCGGGATTGATCAAGCTCGGCACGCAGCTGAGCCACCTCGCTTTCAAAGGCAGCTGTAGCCATGGATGAAGCAGCATCCATGGCTGGGGCAGGTTGTGCAGACTGTGCTTGCACAAGGTCTTCCTCCAGCCTACCCTCATAGTCGAGGCACGCCCAGATCGCGTGAACTTCAGAAGCAAGACCTGAGACCATCCTGTGCTACATGCATGCAGGGACGAACCTAGCAATCTTGGCTTTGAGCTCTGTCACAACAGGATCGAGGTCATCGTCGTGGGCATTGTGAGAGATGGATGGAGCCTGTTCGAGCTCGGCAATCTTGCTTTTTTGATTTCTGTTTGAACAGCAAAGTACTGTAAGGCTGAGAAGTCAGGAAGGGCTACGGACCAGGGAGAGATGGGTATGTCCCAAGACCGTTGCTTCGAGGAAACAGAAACGAAGAGATGGGACTAGCGCAAAGGACGAATCATCAAGGGGAAAGACACACTTGATAGTTTCCTTGCATTTCTTCAACAGAGCCTCGAGACGCTCGACTTTGGCTGTATCTGGAGCGGGGGTGCTGGGAGCAGCGCCGCCACCACCCGACATTTGTAGGGCATCAATCTGCAGACCGCATCGGCGAATTATACACAATAAATCAAAGCCAGGGATTGTACACCTTTGGAAACGACAGCGGGACCAAAACCTGACCTGGCTCCTTAAAACACGTATTTCTTCGTCCTTCTCCTCTGAGCGGTTGAGTTGGATTTGCAGGGCCTCGACCTGATGGAGACGGAAAGCAGTACAGGTGCCGACAAGCATAATGAGACACGATGCGCGTAGCGCACAAGACCTTGTGCAACGTGTTGACGGGCAAGTGCATGAACACGTGCCTTGGACTTGAGGACGCGTGACTCTTCGCTCGTTTGCTCCATGGCGTTTTGCTGAAGTTTGAACGCTTCAACCTGGCTGTTCAGGACTTGAATGCGATCTTCTTTCTCCTGAAGCTGCCGCTCAAAACTGCCAGCAAGTTGCTGTTTGGCTTCTTGATCCAGTCGATGGGCTGTGGGACAAAGAAGCGCATATGAAAGGCCGGCTCGGCGCAGCAAGAAAAGTTGGAGCAGCGGAGAGTCATGATGAGCGGGCACTCGAAGTGACTCACTTTCTTTAAGCTCAGACACGCGTTTGGCAGAGGTGTCTTGTTGCTTGGTGAGCTGCTTGGTGAGTTTGTCATTGTCCGATGACAGGCGATCGCAGTCGCGCTATAGACGTCGAGGGTGTCACATTCAAGAGCAGTGTCAACCAAAAGTTTGCGGCGTTGCGGACTGGCAGGCTGTGGAAGAGGCTGTACGCAAGCCAGCACACGGCAGCATCGAGGACAAGCCCATAAATACATGTATACCTTGAGATCCTTGGCCATGGCTGTGAGTTCGGTAACTTTGGCCTTGTATTTCTCCAGGCGCTTTTGCTGTGGCGATTGGTGAGGAGACGCGGTCAGTGAGGCAGAAAAGGGGCGAGTGGGCAGCAGTGTGGGCGCGATTTGCGCCTCAACCCAGACATTGGCTGCCTGGAGCAGCTCTGACCTGTTTTGCATACTGGTCAGCAGAAACAGAGTCACCAATCGGGTCTTCCTAATGGAGGGAAGCGTGGGGGTTGGATGAGGGCGCGTGTGGGACAAAGGAACAAAGGCTGGGGGTGGAGGGGGTGGGGCGGCCTTGCTCAGCATGGATGTGTACTTTGGTGGAAGAAGGTGCATCGCTACTGTTGGAGGGATTGTTGCTTAGTCGTTGCTTTAAGGATGTGAAGAGACCTGCCGCGCGGATTGCACAAATGGGATGTTGAGAGCAGCGCCGCTCGCAAAGGACTGGCATGCAAGGAGTAATACGACAGACCCTTGTTCGCATTGGAAGGCTTGTCATTGGCAGGCAGTTCCTTGACGGTAGCCTCTTTGGAGGGAGCCTCGTCTGCATCTTGATCTGTGGGCGCGGTGTCGTCAGGAGCAGCAGCAGCAGCAGCAACGGGGTTGGCACCATTGCTGGCTGCGCCGGCATCTAGGTCACGGGGTCAAGATGCAACATCAAGTGAGCAGAGGATCACAAGACGGAAGACGATTGGCGGAGAGCTGGGCCACGCACTTGCACTCGCAGGACCAGGAGTCGATTTGGACTGGAGGTGCAAACGAATCGAATGTGGGATGAGTTGTCAGATTGGGCGGCTCGCATCGCGTTGAATCTAGAGCAAGGCAGCACGGTACCTCGATGCCAGCCTTCAATTTGGCAAACATGACGCTGGTCTCTGGAATGTTCGGCTCGCGTTGGTAGAAGGTGTAGGTGGCAGCTTATTCAAGTGCCACTGCGCTGCGAGCGCGAGACCTCGGCCTGTCGCGAAGAACGAGGCGCAGTGGTCGGTCGATGGCACGGAGGGGCGATGGCGGGATGTCAGGGAGTGAGGTGACATTGACCTCAAGAAAGAAAGATCAAGTAGCCATTTGGCAGTGCCTTTGCGCCCAGCCGGGCCCGTTTCACTCTCAATGTGCTCACTCATTGATGTTGCGCCCGCGCCCGTTCAGCCAACGCGACAATCTTACCACTTTGCCGAGGTTCGGCGCCAGAGCAGACCAGCCCTCCTGGGCGATTGGCCACTCAACTTGATGCTTCAGCCCTCTTCTCTGCCACCTCTACCAAGACACACACACACCAGTGAATCAGTGGATCAGTCGGGCCACCGCCACACACACACACACCCACTGATCGACTGCCGCCACCTCGTAAGCGCTGCCGTTCTCCAAAGAGAGAGAGAGAGAGAGAGAGAGAGATGGAATGTTGTTCGTCTTCAGTCTGCGCGGAGACTCACCTCAAGTCTTGGAAGAGACTGAAAACTGCGTTGTCGTAATCGTCAGACGTTTAGAGGATCAAACGCACCCAGAGCCAGCTGCGCGTACGTGTGTGGAAACGTAAGCTTGAAAGCTTTTAGGAATCTGCACGGATGTGTGGCAAACCCCGCACCCGGGGAGCTACGGGACCCCCGACCCGCAAAAGTCCCAACCACAACCATGTCATGCCCACAAGGGGATTTTTTGATAAAAACACCCCAATGGCGAACTCAGTGAGATACAGCCGGGCGGTCAGCCGCGAACCCCTTTTCGACCATCATGACCATGGCAGCCAGAGGGTGAGCGAGACAAGCACCAATAACACAGACACCTCGCATGTTCACAAGCTCAAACTCTCAGACTCGCTCTCTCTCTCTCTCAAACCTCTCTCTCTCTCTCACACACACACACATTCACATCTTAAAGTCCCTCTCTCTCTCTCGAAATCTCTCTCTCTCGAAATCTCCTCCCTTGGTATGACCATGATCCAACGCCTCGCAATTGTGCTTTGTCTCTCTCGTCACCCCCAACCCCAACCCCCACTTTCTCTTCTCGTTCGTCAACCTCTCCTTGAGGACTCTCTTTACGATGTCCCTCTCTCGCACTTCTTCTCTCTGTTTCTCTCTCTCTCTCTCTCTGTTTCTCTCTCTGTGTTTCTCTCTGCTTCATGCCTCTTCTCAATCTCTCTCTCTTCTCTCTCTCTCTCTCTCTCAAACTTGAATCTCTCTCTCTCTCTCAATCTCTCTCTCTCTCTTACACAAGTAAGACACGTGTGCAAAGAAGAATGTCGCAACGGCTCCAAGGTCTTTTCATGGATTCGCTTCCATCTCTGAGATTTGATCCATGTAAGCCTCCATCTCTGAATTAAGCTTTATTTCATTAACGTCTAATCGAGCATTTAATTACATTCTCTGAAACTTGTGCCGTACCTGGCACAAGCTCTCGCTGTCAGGGACCGTGACATGTGATTGAGCAGAAAGTAATTTGGCAAACATTTGACGCGCTGCTCCTGCTGCTCCTGCTGCTCCTGCTGCTGCTGCTGCTTCATCACGTCTTGTGCCTCTCTCCTCCCCCTCCCCCTCCTCTCTCTCTCTCTCTCTCGCTCTGTGTGTTTCCGCGTCTCTTTGGCAAAGGATCGACCAGACATAGCTGCTGGGGGCCGTTGGCGATCTTGCAAAGCGAGATCGGTGGCGACTTGTAACCAGCAAGATGGATTCGCGCCGACCATCGCAACCCATTCCCGTCACTGCCGTCCGGCGGCCGAGCTCGCCCTCGAGCTCGGCCACCCGTGAAAGCTATGACCAGCTTGGTGGTTCGTGCCCTTGCTCCTCACGATGCCAAGAAGAACAAGGCAATGCCAGACCCCTCCCTCCTCTTACCCCATCTTCGTACTCTCTCATCCCGGTCTTGCCGGGGTCATAGAACAATTCGAGTTTGAAGATACTTCACAGAGCCAAGAGTACCAGCAGCCCACCTCCCCGGCCACCTGTACGCGCATTTGATGCATTGGCTCCTTGCTGTAGCCCTTGGCATGCCAGATCTCACCTCTCCCACCCGCGCACCTGACCATGACCACCGCCTCTCCATCACTTGTGCCCGCTGTGCCCCTTCTTCTTCTTCTGCGCATAGCTGGCATCGCCACCACCAGCCTGCGCCATCGACGCCTGGCCCCTCCCCATTCCCTCAAGACCAACTTGAGCCCTAGCAAAGCCTCGCTGCCCGTCATGTCCCCATACACCCGTGGAACCTTTGGCCGTCTTCGTCGCCCTGCTCACGCCGCTGAGCAAGCCCACACCCCCGATCACCACGCGTGAGTCTTGCACCCCAGCCGGATCGCCATCTTCTGCTTTGCCAGCGTCTTGGGTTTCTCGCTGACACAGGCAATACCCCCCTTGATTGAAACCAACCAGCAAAAACATGCTTGGCCGCTCCACCGATGCGGAAAGCCTCCACATTGCTGTGCCCCCACGACCAGCCGCCCGTCATCACGGCCCAGCCAGCCTCCGCAACAATGGCTCCTGGTTCAGTCGGCCCTCTTGGGCCGGCAGCCTCCAAAACAGCCGCACAATGGATGATAATGATGAGGACCTGGAATCCAACGTCCACGACCCTCTCCTGGCCAAACACCACTTTGATGACCCAGCGGAACAGGATTCTGAAGATCCAGCTGCCCCAAGCGCCCACCGGCACGGCGGATCAGACAGTCCAAGCGGTGGAAAGGGGTATGGAGCCACCTCCGATCAAGAACCCGTGGACATTGAGCTGCACAGCTCCTTGGCCAGCCCGTCCCAGTCCTTTTGGCAGCGACAAGGCACAGCCCTCCTCTTTGGCATCATCAATGCCATCATCATTGTTCCCGTCGTCGTCTCCTGTACGACAAAGCGTCCATGCCCTCTGCCACTCGCACGCACAAAACGAAGACAGTCCCACATTAAAACTATTTGTGTTCCCTCAGCTGGCGGCACAACTGCCTGGTCTTGCCTCAATGCAACCCTCTCGGCCGGCCTTAGACACCCAAATCATCTTTAGCAACACGTTTTACAAACCGTACCTCCCCACCCTCATCAAGCTCGTCTTCTTCTCTTCGGTCGTGCACCAGGTACAAAGCCTCTCGCCAACCCTGTTTTGCACCATTCTGTGCGACTGTATGAGCACCGACAGTTCTACGATCCACCTCGTCCCTTTTCTCATGCAATCACCTGGCCCGTTGTCGCTGCCAACACCTAGACGTGCTTCACCGTTCTCTCCTCTCTCTCCTTTGCCATTGGCCAAGTCCAAGACGCGGGCCTCATCTTCCTCTCGGCCATGGCAACCAGCATTGCAACCCAGCTCCAGAATGAGGGCCATGAAGCACATGCTGTAGGTACCCATTTATGCGTGGTTCATAGCCTCTGGCGCGCCCACGTTTTGATTCATTTTTGCACACCTGCTTCACACAATCAACACATGCCCGGCTACTCTAGATTTTGGCCACCACCTTGGTGTGGATTGGTCTCTCAACTGCGCTACTTGGCCTTGCCCTCTACATTACCGGCTCTCTCAAACTGGCCTCCATTGTCCAGTACCTGCCCATGCCCGGTATGTTTCTGTCTTTTTCTATTTTTTTTTTTTTTTGGTTTCTTTTCTTCATTCCTTTGAGACACTCATGGAGCGCCCTTCTCGCTAAATTGCCCCGGCCTTTGGTTGGCAGTGGTCGGCGGCTACCTGAGCTACATTGGACTTTATAGCCTGCAAGCTGGACTGGCCCTCATGTCCGATTGTACGCTCAATAGCGTCATGGATTGGGGTCAGCTGCTCAAGCCAGACATTGGCATTCTTCTAGCCCCTGGTATGCCCCACTCAAACTTGTTTCTCGACCCTTTTGGTGGTCCCTGCTCTTCAAATTGGGCTACAAGCCCCACCCATATCTTGGCTTTGTCACTTTGAAGTAATGATGCATGGTGTTTCCTTACCATAGGACTGGCCTGTGGCCTTTTGCTGATGGTCGTGTCTCGCACCGTGAATCACTTTGCCGCCTTGCCACTCTGCCTGGTGGCCATTCCTGTCGGCTTTTACATTGTTCTGGCCTGTACCAGCACCTCTCTCACGGTACCCCCCGAAGAACGCGCGCATGCCAACCCGCAACTTGATCCGCGCTGCCGCCGCCCACACCTTGCACCATTTGATCTTGCTGTGCAAATGGTCTGCTTGATCCGACACAGGAAGCTCGAAGTGCTTTCAACGGCAGCGGCTGGGTGGCGCCGACTTCTCCGCCCACGCAGTTTTACGACACGTCAGTTCAACCCGACTCGCTGCACAACTTCTACCGTGATGGCTGCAGCCACCCATGTCGCGTCTTGATCCACGAGGCCACCGCCTCACCGCCATGCTGTGCTATTCATCCTTTGCGCTGAAGGTGGAATGACTTTAAGTTTGCCGATGTCAAGTGGCATGTCATCCCCTCCCTCCTGCCAACCTGGCTCGCCATGGTTGGTATCTGCGGGCGAAAACCACCGGTTTTTCTCTTTCTTGCCCTGGCTTGATGTTCACTTTTTCTGATCCGATCGTGATGTTCTGGCGGTGTTTTTAGTACATCGTGGTTGCCTTCTCGTCGTGCTTGGACGTTGCTGCTATCCAAATGGAGCTGGGTTCGCCACTTGACTTTAACCATGAATTAAAGACTGTTGGTCTTTCCAATTTCTTCTCCGGTATTACTGGAGGGCAAACCGGTGAGACTTTGTCCTTCCTTCTTCACCTCCATGTCGTATGCACTTGCTCACGCCTGTTCGTTCTTGCCCTTGGCCCCATCAGGCTCGTACATTTTTAGCCAGACCCTTCTGACCTGCCGCGCGGTTTGTCTAGCATGACTAACCACCTTTGGCCCCTCGGCGGGCAGCATCTAACGCGCGACCTCGGCTCCTCTCTCACGTAGGGTGTCAACAGCAAGCTCAACGGCGTCGTCATCATCCTGACCTGTCTTTTGATGTTTGGCCTGCCCATGTCCCTCTTAGCCTACATGCCAAAGTTCTTCTTCGGCTCGGTCCTGGTTCGTGTCAATATCCGTTTGACCCCCGAGTCACCTCGCAGTCACTGGCGTGGGTACGGTGGAAATGTGAGATGGCAGCAGGCTGGGACCCGCGCAGCTCATCTCGAGACTTGATGCATTCGTGCGGCTAGGTGTTTATTGGATTCGACCTCATGGTTGATTGGCTCATTTCAAGCTTCAAGATGGTGGCGCTTCTGGAATATATCATCGTATGGGGCACGCTGATTGCCATCGGTATGTCACGCTCAATCCGCTGTGCCCGCTACCCCGAACCTGTAAAGTAGAAAAACCTTGCAATAGCATGACTGATTCACCCCCTGCCATTGCGGTACAGTGGCGCTCAACAATCTGGAGTACGGCTTTTTGTGCGGCATTGGCCTTTGCTTGGTCGTGTTCATCTTTCAGTACTCGCGCGAGCCCACGGCTGAGAAGGTGTGCCTGCACAAGCCAGAACATTCATTTGGTGCACACTGCGACAGCGTCATTCTCACCCCAATGCATGGTTCGTGTGTTCGTGTTGCACCAGCTGCGCTGCCGCAGCAATGTGATTCGTGGTTTTCGCCAACGACAGCAACTTTCGCGGCACGGCAAAGCCATTGTGGCCATGCGCTTGACTGGACACGTGTTCTTTGGCAAGGCCGTGGGTTTGCTCAAGGAAGTTGAACGCCGAGTGGTTGTTCGCACTTTTTTGTCCGAGCCTTATGCGCGAAAACCGTCTGTCGCCGACTTTTTCGTGCGGGCTGGCCGCTTGTAAGTTGCTCAGTGCGAGCTTGCGCGACTCTTCCGATAAATATCGTGCCTCGAGACGTGATTTTCCACCCAAACGCCTTAAAGCTGATGAGCAATTATGCCTGAAACCTGGGTTTTGATGACAGGATTCAGCGACGCATGAGTCAGGCGCCACCGCCAGCGCTAAACAAGGTGCAGGAGGACGACGAAGAGGATTTTCCCCCGGAGAGCCCCTTACCTGACCTTGGTCATCTGGACGATAGCGCATCGCGTTCCTCGCAACCACGCTCGCCGCTGCGCAAGCAGCAGAGCAGTTCTGGCTTGGCTCGACCAGACCCAATGGCCACGAGGTTAGCCGAACAGGAGAGCCCTCTGCTGACGCTGGGCGACAATGAGGACCTGGCTTATCTTCACGAAGCTGATGACTACTATCGCCCCCACACCTGGGCCAAGCGGTGAGTATGAACCCATGATGCTTGCTGCCTGGGTGCTGGTCCTTGTTGGCGAAACCGTGCTGGCGTCTTGGCAACTTACCCTTGCTGGTGTGGTCATTTTGACGCCAGGGAGGGCCTGGTGGCGACGCGCTATTTGATCCTCGACTTTTCTAGCGTAACGGCCATTGATGCCACGGCCATTCGCAGCTGCTTCATGATCCTGCGCCAGCGCCTTCAACGCAACAATGTCACGCTGGTGTTTACGGGTGGGTGCTGAAAGTGGCTCAACTCAAACCGGCGGGGCCTACAGGAAGTCTTTTCAATTGCCAAAGGCGCGTGCTCTGAGCTTGCTGCGACCCGGCATAGGTATGAGTGAGCTGATTGAGCGGCTGATGGTGCAACAAGAGGTGCTACCAGAGCCTGATATTTTGCATGTGGACAACGAAGATCGACAAGAGGGTACGTCCATGGCGGCTGCTGAAGGACGACAAGAGGCGGCGCGCGCCCGGGCGCAAAATAAAACGACAGGCCGTGTGACGCCGCGTTGTGCTCTTCATATTTCTGGTCTGCAGGCCGTCAAATGACAGCGCCCCTCGAACACCTGGTGGATGATGTGGAAGCCGTTGATGGCTGTCTGGCTCTTCCATCGTTGGACCATGGGTTGGAGTGGGCTGAAGGTGCGTCTCATGCATTCCACATGCCGACCCTACGGATCAACTTCATGCCGTACGGTTGACACTGAGCGTGTTGGCAATTTTGCACGATGCGAATGATGACGATGGCACGCAGACCGATTGCTGCAAACGCTGCAAGTTAAGCATCCACGCCGCCTTTCCGTCTCGGTATGTATTTCCCAGCCCCAGACTTAAACCTCGCTGAGTCAAGCCAACGAGAAGCTCACCTGGCTGCTTCCTGCGTGCGCTCACCTGGCTGCTTCTTGCGTGCGACTAGGAACCAAGTATTCGCGGCATTTTGGAAGCCTATGGCGTTCTGGAGCCATCTTTGGCCAGCTGTATGTTGACTTTGGCTCAGTGGTCCATGCCGTCAAGCCCTGTGCGCTTACATTGGAATTTGGCCCGGTTGGTGTTCCAACAGTAACGGACGACGATTTGCAACAGTACTACACGGAACGACATTGTGCTTCAGGTATGTTTAGTGGTACCTCTTTTTGAACTTGACCGTCCAACTAGCAACGGTTGGCAGAGAGGTTGAAGAGGCAGATGCTTTTCGCAGCTCGATTTTCTCATAGCTCGGCATGCTTTGAACTATGCTTTGAATATACTGTGTGCCGTCTTTTTTTTTTTTTTTTTTTTTTTTTTTTTTTTTTTTTTTTTTTTGGTTTTTGCTTGGTGCTTGGTCCTCGTCTTTCCATGGGCGCGTTTGTTGTTTTGTAAAGGTGACTTGGTGTTTCGACGAGGTGACCCGGCGGATCGTCTCTACTTTATCATTCAGGGCGACGTCGTTCTCTACAAGCATTCTGTGGTAGGATACTCTCAGCCTATGCCCTAACCCTAATAGCACAATGATCTGCATGGCAGGATGGCTGTTCTACATGGTAATTTTTGTGTCATGTTTTTGTATGGGGATGCATGGTGGCTGTCGCAGGCACAACGCGCACGGCGCTACGACCAGGGGGGTGTCTTTGGCGAGATGAACGTGAGTGGGACTTTTTATTTCTTGCCTTTTTTTTCCCTGTACCTCACTCGATTGGTTTCACATCGCTGTGTCAAACTGACTGGTGAACTTCGGCTTCTGGCTTACCATCCCTTGTCACAGTTTTTATTGCAACAACGGCGTTGGTATAATGCATGCGCCGTCTCCCGGACGGTGTTGGCAGAGCTGACCATTGACAGCTATCGAATGATGAAGCGCCAGCACCCAGGCCTTTTCATTGCGTTGCAAGCAGCGCTCCTCAAGAGCATGGCCCGCATCGCATCGGACAATGCCTTTTCCTCATAGCCTACACCGCGAAGCAGCACCTCAACGTCACGTGTGGACCAACTTGCTCTTCTTCTTTTTCCTTTTGCGTCCTTGCCATGGCCGAGGTTACCTGAGCCTGTGCCCCTTCCTTGTGGGAGCGACCGACGATGTTGACCCATGATTGTTTCTGATTCTCGACTTGCCTCGGTTCTGATCTTGTCCCCAATGTCTCATTTAATCTGTTCTCTCCGTGTGTGTCCACGGTTAGACGGGTGCGAACACTTCTCATGTATCTAGCTAGCTAGGCCTGATTTGTACACTGAAATGAATTCCATGTCTTGACGCCCTCGCCCTCTCACTCCCTCACCTCCCCACGTCTCCCCCGACTCCTCACACCCGCACCTCCATACGCCCCATCACATCACGGGACCTATGGAAGTTTGCGCCGATTCACACACACACACACACACACACACACACACACACACACACACACACACACACACACACACACACACACAACATCTGACAAATCTCGCTGTCATATCGTCTGACAATTGGGACCGATCCAACACGACGTGGGAACGTGAACCTGTTGCCGATATGAGCAAACGCCGAACCGGTCCTCATCTCTACAATCCCCTTGAAACTCCCACTAGCACCATCCCCACTTCCTTCCTCCCCTCTGAACACAATGTCTGACTATGAAGATCCCCAAGATGCGCTGAGCGCAACTGCTGGGACGGCAGCGGCGGCGGCGGCGGCGTCGGCGTCGGCGGGTGCTGCTGGACGAAATGGCGGCGGCGTGACGAATGGTTTTGGAGGGAGCAGTGCGGCGGATGCATTTGCACGTGGTGGTCTGCGTGGTGGTGCTACGGGGTATGTTGAACGAGCCTGAATCATGCCCAGTCATCATCGCGATCATGCTGTCGTCACGTGGACTGCTTCAACGCGAGCAAGCCTTTGAAAGAAAAGAAAATGGCAGCCAGCTTGGTGCCCTCCTGACATCCAGATGGGACACCCATGCTCATGAAAGTGCCATATCGTCTCTCATGACCTGTTCTTCCTGTCTCCCCTCTGTGTCAATGGGGTTGGACAGGCGTCGCGATTCGGACAAAGACGACTATGAAGACCCTGATGCCGCAGTTCAAGAGCGCGGTCGCAAGTTTGTATGTCAAGTGCCTCTGGAATGCAATGGTTTGAGACATGTGTTCGCCTCACCATACCCCTCTTTCCCTCCCCATCTTGCCAATCATCTGCCAGTTGGCGTCATCAAGTGCGCTAGCCCAAGCTGCGCGAGCCATGCGCCGCTCGTCAGCCGCTCTGGAGGAAACAGCCGATGACGACACCTACACCATGCCTCAAACGAGGTTGGTTTACCCTCGGGCCCTTCATTGATCAATTCGAATTCCCAGGCCCTCATCCGCCAACCCTCGTATCGACCTCCACACAGACCTAGCAGCATGGCCGGTGCCAACATCACGGCCGCCATGCAGGGCCTCAACGTTTCCTCCAACCATGAGTAAGCTGGCTTCGCGGTTCAAGTTTTGCTATTGCCACCCCTCTCGTCCTCTGTGACAGCATGAGCTAGGAACATCACCAGGCACACGCATGGAAACGGGACCCCTCTCCTTGTCGGATGATTTCTGCACCCCCGCAACACTGCTTTCACACACACCCCACGTACAGCTCAACTTTCGGACATGCTTGTCTGCCTTTGTGCTCACAAAACCTTTTTCTCGCCTTGCCACTTGATGAACCACTGCTTGCCAGATCCTATGTCAACTTGCATGAAGGCACCGCCATCCGCGACTATGGAAATCTCAAGGCCATGGCAGATTTGCGGCGAAACAGCGTCGAGGCCTCGAGCTCCGCTCCGCCCCCTGCCGTCCCCTCTCGTGCTCGTACGTGCTGTGGGACAGGACATGCTTTTTTTGTATGCCCTCCATCTCGACTCACCTGACTGCATTTCATCGCTCCTAGGCAAGCCAGCACCCCCCGTGCCCAACGTCCCCGTTCGCCCCTCCGTCGCCGCTTCACGCCAAGCAGGTATCACCCACCGTCACCACCCTGCCTCGGATTCGCAACTCCTTGGACTCTTCCATGAGCGCCTTTGGTACACACGTGACCCTGAGCCCCTATCCTGTCCGATGCCCCGCTACCACCTCCAATAGCCCAAGCCAATCCTCGTGCGCGGCCCCAGAACATTGAAATGCCTCCCGCGTCACTTGGTGGCCCAGAGCTTCTGGCTCAACAGTGCGTGACAATTCTTGGCTGCGAAATGATCCGGACACCGCTCAAAGGCCGACTCATCTGAGACGCTTGCTGCTCTGCAGATGGTACGGTGGTGTGATGAGCGCACAAGAAGCCGACGCCATTCTCAACCTGGCTCCCATGCATTCTTTCCTTGTTCGTGAAAGGTGCGTGAGTGTGATCAACAATCTGCCATCTTGTTTGCCACTCTTCTCTCCCACAAATGCGCGCTCACTGTGTCCCCCTTTTTCTTTTTCTTTCTCGATTCTTCTCTTTGTTTCTTCTCTTTTGCTCACACTCCCCTGCCCTCTGTGCCTGGTTTGCTCTGATCCGGCATCGAATTATGGGTGGGTACAACCCGATAGCGAGCGTCGCCGCAATCTGAGCTGTAGCCTGGTACTCAGCGTGCGTGGCTGCAACGTGCGTCAAGATCAAGAAACCAACCATCTGCCGATTGTACGTGTGCCCGAGCACCGCCTGGGCACCAGCCTGGACATCTTCTCATCTTTATGATCACCCACAGGAGCTGCTACCTGTGGCCGGTCAAGCTGCTTTTCGCATCACAGCTCTCGAGGATCAAGTCCTGATGGGTTCCGTCACAGCTCTGATTCAACATTACATGTATGTTTCCGCCCTGCTCTCGCCTGCGTGGGCCTGTCCTCTTGCCGCAAACCCTCATGCTGTCGCGCACATGGCATTGCGTGCCTCGTTTGCAGGAAGGGCAGCCCCTATTGTCACCTCAAAACGGTGGCCTTCAGCTCGTAACGCGCCGGACGCGGTCACTTCTCGTTTGATGTCTTTATTTTGTGTTTCTTCTTGTTGATCCGCGCCCGTCCTCCGAGGTCATCTGCCCGGAGTATCTGCTTCCGCCAATTGGCCCTTGGCGTTGATCTTTATTGCGGATAATGTTTGCTGTGGAACATTTCTATCGTGACTGGGCCAGGCTTGGCTTGCCCTGTCGTACCTTTCCACTCATGCCCTCGCCAAGTTTCGCCTTGTTTTTGCGGGGAAGTGAGTGAGGTGTTGTGCACGTTGTTGTGCGCGATTTTCTCCTCAGAATTTTATCAAACAAAAAGGGAATGCGGTTGATAAAGACTTGATAGTGATTTTCGGTTGGGTCTAAATTTGCCTGTTGCTCGTGCTTCAGAACAACCAGGCTCTTATGAGTTGTACCAGTGTCTGAGAGCGAAAAGCACTTGAACCAATACGCCACGGGTTTCACAAATTCGATCCAGCTGTTTGGCTGGCGAAAAATTCTTGTGCTGCTTTTGCCTATACCGAAGCAAACACAGGATTCGTGGTCAGCCTGGCCGTCCTGATGAGCAACAACAAAACTACAATCGGACGTGCCTTTGCGGATGCAATGTTGAAGGCCTCGTGTGTGGATACTATCAGCTGCAAATTGGTGGGTGCGGGGTATCACAGGTTTGAGATGTGCACCAGCTGAGCAATACACGCAAGACAGTGGAGCGAGCTCGGCTGTTCAGCGCTACCTCGGGGTGGCCAACAGCTTGAAGCCCTGACAGGCAATAGCAGGTGTGATAAAAATCCCGTCCCCTAGGACCAAGAAGCCGAAAAAAGCAAACACGAATTCTTTAGCACAAACATGATGTGGTGCTCTGGCTCAAGTCGACGACGGCACGTGGAAAGTGTATGTGTGGGTGTGGGTGTGGGTGTGGATGTGGATGATGATTGCGGACCGCATGCGTGCGGTTGGGCTGGCAATTGGAGAACATACTTGCCCGGCTTGTCAATGAGGCCGCCTCGAGGATGTTGACAACAGATGCACACGTAGTGTATCAAGCCCTCTACAGTATCGTATCAACGAGACAACAAGCCAGGATTATTGATGAACATGGCGAGCTTCTTTGAAAACCTGGTGCGTTGCCCCAAGAAGCCTTACCGGCCGAGCAGAGCAAGCCGGGATCAGCCCCTACTCATCAAAGAGTGAGTGAACATTTGCCCCATAAAGCAGAATCAGCAACAATCATGAGAAGTGGGCCAGTACGCGGTCTTCGGGTCGGGAGTGGTACCCGTTGGTAGCAGCAATCCGAGGACTCACCTTGCGCTTTCAGCATCTTTCGAAGGAGGGGGAAAACGCCGCCCACCCAAAAGGAGTAACAACCGTCCACCAGCTTGTTGGTGCGGCCCTGAAAACCCCCCTCAAACTTCATCTGTCGCTCAACGGCCCAGGACTGAGGACACAAGCATGGCAGGCCAAGTTCTTGGTAAGTTGGCCTGTGATGGCATCGTTCCCAGCAGAGTCTGGAGGGCAATCCGGTTCGACGCACCGCCAGTCGTGGAAGGTCAATGAGCTCCGCGCCTTGCAACAGGTGCAAAGCAGCCAGTCCGCAAAATGCATAGCCGCCGTGTGCCTCGGCACCTAAGCAGAAAGCGACCGTGCGCGTGAGGATCTGAGAGGTATTGGGTCATCGTGGCAAGTCAAGCAGCTGGGCAAGTGCATCGTACCAGGAACGGCGGCAAATCCGCCTTCATATGTTTGACAGCTTTCGACGCGTAGTGGTTTGGCCCGAGTGCGCGAGATGGCAGGAAGATGACGATGAGGCATTGGCATATCAAGGTCTTCATGCCCGCAGCAGTACATTGCTGCCAAGGTTGAGGCTGCATGCGATTGGTATGGGGCGTGTGTAGCAGGGGAGAGGTGGCGCACCGGGCAATCCAAGCCGCTGAACCGGCAAAGAGCTCGTCGAGCTTGGGAAGGCAGGCCAAGAATGCCGCACTTGTCGCGCAGTACACACCGCTGTGGAAGTGACCAGCAGGCATGCCACCACCACATCAAGGGTTGCCTTTTACAACGAAAAGAGGGGCGACCGGAAGGCTCAATGGTAAAGTGACATGCAGCACAGTCGAGGACAGACTGACCGAATATCGACTTCACCATCCTCGTGCATGGTGAAGGAGCCATCGGCACGTTTACGGGCGGCGAGGAACTTGCGTAGGCTGATTCTGCGAGTGCGTCGTGATCATGAGCCTGTCGGCCACGGCTGTCGGTGGAAAGTGTGAATGGCAAAGGGAGCTAACCGATCGATAATGGACAAGGCATCGGGTCCCAGAATAGCGAGGGCATTGACGGAAGCATATGTGGGAGCCAAATGAGAGAGTTGGCCTGGACCACCACCAAAGCCACCTGTTGACGGTATCCATGGGGCAGGGGAAGGATCACGATGGCTGAGGCTTGATGCCGGTGTGGGCACCCCAGAACCCAAGGCCAGTTTGCCTACCTGTGGCATTTTGGCACTGGCGCAGTGTGTTGATGCACCTGGGCCAAGACGCGGGAAAGGATGAGAACCTCTTGAGAGGGTTTTAGACTCTCCATTCCATTGACGTGTGCGGGGAAGGCTGCTCAAAGCTAGAGGGCGAATGTGACTTGAACTTACCGTGTGCGCTCGCTTTCGTTGGGTTCGTATCCGAGAAGGGAGAGGCCGTGCAAGCACCAATAGATGATCCAGGGTCGGCTGGCATCGAGACACTGGTAGCCACTTCCAAGCTGACCCAGCCCGCTCCGCAAGAAGCCAATATGGCGCCTGCGATCCAGCATCAGCCACTCGCTTTGTAGTGACAGGCTTTTGAGGACGCCGTTGCAGAGGCCGAGTGGAAGCATAAGTTTGCAGGCGAGGCGAGAGACAAACATGAGAAGAGATGCGCTGGCGTCGCCAGATGAAGCAGTAGCAGGCGGCCGTCCTCTGAACGACGTACCGTGGTTGAACCTCTGGGTCAGCGAGAACGGGGCGAAAGCATTCATCCTCAAGCTGTGTCTCCACGGCCTCTTGCTGCCGCGTCGTCAGCGTACTCAGACCATCATCATTGATGGTCAACGCGCCCCACGCATCCAATGGCACGAGCAACGCCATCTCGCTGGTCTGACTCACCCCCGCCGCGACTCGCCCCTTCTTCTTCCCACAAATCGACTCTCTTACACACACACACACACACACACAGACAGAGAGAGAGAGAGAGAGAGACGGACGGACGGGCGAAAGGCACTGAGACTGACACCGAGAGAGAGAGAGAGAGAGAGAGAGAGAGAGAGAGGACGAGCTCAAGAAGCAATGCAGGCAGAGCTCGGCGTCAGTGTCGACGTCAGTGTCTAGATGAGAGAGAGAGCGAGAAATGCGCGAGAGAGAGAGAGAGAGAGAAATGCGCGAGAGAGAGAGAGAGAGAGAGAAACGTCAAAAGCAGTAAAATTGCGTTCACACACTCTCTCTCTCACCAATTCATTCTCTCTCTCTCTCTCTCTCTCTCTCTCTCTCTCTCTCGATTCTCACGGCTGCACTGGCACTGGGGACTCACAGTTTTGTCGTCGCGCGTCCGCGTTGTGGGGAGAGGACGGGGAGGGGGGCATCATGGCCAAGCGGGTGTTGCAATGTGCCGTGCGGCCCGGCATGACGCTGGCCGAGATTGATACGCCGGCTTTGCTTGTTGATATGACGTGAGATGCTGGCTACCCCCCCCCACCCCCCCGGCTCGAGATTTGATGTGGTCAAAGATGGATCCGGTCGCTCATGCGCCGCCGCTCGTCACTGGTGTCACTAGCGCGCTGGAGCGCAACCTTGGCACGATGCGCAAGGTCATGGCTGGATTCCCGCATATGCGTCTGCGCCCACATGCCAAGACCCACAAGACGCCCTACCTGGTTGACCTCCAGCTGCAAAACGGCGCGGTAGGCTCTGCCTCTGGTTGTGACCCTTGGCCCTACCACCGCTCCTACACACCAGCTCCCCGTGCGCGTGTTGATCATACTCCTTTTCTCTTCGCTGCTTCTCTCTCAACCTGCGGCTGTGTTTCTGTGTGACTCTTGCTCCGGCCCTCTTCCGCACCTCAGGCGGCCGTGTGTTGTCAAAAGCTGGACGAGGCCCAAGCCATCCTTGCCGGCTCTTCGGTGGGTCCGAGGCCACGGTGCTCGCCCCGTCAAATGGCCACCCAGGCACGGCAAGACTGACGCTGTCATGTGGGGCTTTGCCTGGCTCCCTCTTCCCCCTCCTCTCCCCTTAGGTCAAGGATGTCATGGTGACCAACGAAATTGTGGGCAAGCCCAAGATTGCACGCCTCATGCGCCTGGTAACCTATTTTACGTCGGATGTTGATTCGCGCGTCCGCTGGCTTGTGGCTTTCAAATTGCACCCCGACTTCACCGTTTATTACGCACGCAGGCCAAGGAAGCAGCCTCCAAGGATAAAACCCTGTCTGTGCTTGTTGATGACATGTCCAACCTACGCGAGGTGGCTGAGCAGTGCCGACTGGCCGCCGTTCGCTTGGGTATCTGGATTGAAGTGAACGTCGGACAAAACCGGTACGCTGCAGTACCCTGCCTTTGTATGGCCATCGTCCGCACACTCTCACGGGCCGTGCTTTGTTCGTAGCTGTGGAATTGATCATGACTCGCCCGTGTTGCTCGAGTTGGCCCGTTTTATTGACGAGCACCCAGATCTGACTTTCCGTGGCCTGCAGTGCTACCAGGTTGGCGCCTTGCTTCTCCCTTTGTGCCAGTCGCTTCAAAGGTCGCCTGAAGACGCGTACCTCTGGTTGCAACCGAATAAACACACTACCGACCCACGCTTACCCGCCCCCCCCCCCCCGGCTCGAACACTCGTGCTTTGTAGGGTGCATTGCAACATGTGCGTGCGCATGCTGACCGACAGCGGCTTGTGGATGAGGTGGCGGCAAAGGCTCGAGCTGCCCGTCAAACCCTTCTTGATGCCCGGCTGCCGTGTCCCGACGTCAGCGGTGCGATTTACCTCCACCCCCTTGGCGCTGGACCGCGAAACTGATCTACTCCTTGTCGTGGACTCGTGATAATCTAACATGGCGGTGTTATAGGGTGTGGTACTGGCACTTTTATGCTTGAGGGCACCTGCGGCGTCCATACCGAAGTGCAGGCTGGTCAGTGGTTTGGCTCCGTCTCCGTCTCGGCCCACAGGTTGCGCCTCGCTTCTCTCATGCGACTCTGTCGTTTGCTCGCAGGCTCCTTCATGTTTATGGATGCGGATTATGGTCGAAACCTTGCCGAGGTCTGTGACACTTTCTTTGTCTTGGGTCGCGAATGTGCCTCGTCCCGATCTTTGGCTTTGCAGACTTACCTCGAGTGTGCGTGCGATGCGTCGAGACCGCAGGGTGGGGGGCATGTCTCGCAGTTTGAGCATGCACTCTTTGTGTTGACGACCGTCATGTCGCACACCAACCCTGATCGCTTGGTCGTGGACGCGGGCATGAAGGTGCGTATGGTTGTGTGTGCATGCATGTTCGCGCGCGAACAGTTCTGGGTCGTGTGTCCATCTAGCACGGTGTTTGCGTGTAGCTCATGGTGCCGTTGTAGGCGGTGTCCTTGGATTCGGGTCCGCCTACCGTTGTCGATGAGACGGCCACGCAGGCAGCTGGACGGGGTGTGGCGTTTGATGAATCTCGGGTAAGCTCTACCCGGATTGCCTCTTGCCCCTGTATTGATGGGTGGAACGGGCCGTGATAATTCTGTGCCATGCTGCCCGGCTTTTCCACCTACCTTTAGGTGCGCTATCAGAATGGTGGCGACGAACACGGTGTCTTGATGCTGGGTGACTCGGGTGCCCTGCCTGACGCCCAGGTGGGCACCTTGCTGCGACTCATTCCAGGCCACTGCGACCCCACCGTCAATATGTTCGATTTCATGGTGTTTGTGCGAGACGGCATTGTGGAACGCGTCGAAGCCATCGAGGGCCGGGGTCCAGGCCTGTGAGCTGCGTCGTATGGTTGAAGAGTAGTAACTTTTCTCTTCTGGCAATCGACTCGGATATTGCTCCTCTTCACTGGCCCTGCTAATCACATGCATATTACACATGTCTATTGCGCTCTTTCTTGTGAGTGTAGTAGCACACCCATTCGTCTCTTTGATTCTTGATAAGGGTTTCTATTCCACATGTCGAGCAACACAGAGATGAAAGTACTAACCCCTGGTTCGTGATGTAGTTGAGAACATAAAAGAAGTGACACGAGCTCCTTTCAAACTGGATCGTGTTCGTACGACGTGACATGCTGAAGAGAAACAGAGCCAGAGCAACAGACGCAAAAACCAAAGTGCCCTGCACTCCAGCCACCACCCTCAGCGCGCCTCAGGAGGGACGGAAACAGGGGTACAACGAAAAGACACGAAAATTCGCGGAAATTAACCGGAAAAAGGCGTAAAATTAGCTGAAAATCACAGAAAGCGGATGTCATGCACTTTCTTGATCAAAAAATCAAAAACCAAAAACTTTTGAGCGCGATATCGCGCAGTTTCCGACAGTTGACGGGGCCGGCGTGTCTTGCGGACCAGAATTTACATACACGTGGGCCAGAACGAGAACGAGAAGAACGTTTCGAAGAGAGACACCAGCCAACATGGCCAGTACAAACAGCCCGAGGTACACCAGGCAGGCGATTGCGGTGCTGAGCGTGTTAGTCGGCGTGGGACTGGCGATCGGACCGCAGACACGTGCCACACCACCAGCGACAGCACCAGTGAGATCAGCGACGAGCGTGTGCACGCCGTTGCTGGCGGACATTTATGCACTGAACGAGCAGGGCTACAACGACCATTCTGACAGCGCACGAAATGCCACGGCCGTGGAGTTGGCCAAGCGATTCTCCAGCAACGCATCGATTGCGGCACCCGCGTGGTTAACACCTCGCTATCAAGGCACAGCTGGTGTCGTGGCCTTCTTCAACACGCTTTTCGCACCAACGCCTGGGTGCGGGCACTCGGCTTCGTTCCAAGTGGGCCCCGCGATCGCAGCACGGGCCATCAACCTGCCACCCAACGTCACCAACGCGGCGCCCACCGCCAGTCCCATCTACTGCGAGGCACAAATAGCCGTCAGCGTCACGCTATTCGGTACCAACACCTCGATAGGCCAGGGCTGCACGGCTGCCTGGCAGCAGGCGGACACATACGTAGTCGACGGTGCCGGCCAATACATCACATCCTTGGATAGCATATTCGACGAGGTAGACGTGGCTGAGCAGTTTGCCAGCTGCACCCTCTCCATCTGCATGGCTTAAGTTAGGGTGAGAACATGGCGCCACACCACCTGCTTGCGCTTGGCGATGTTTTCCGATCCCAGACCCATAGGCCTGTCGTGGTGGTGCGATCTCGATGGCCACCTTGCGCAGCAGCCCGGCCGTATCCATTGCGCGAGCATTGTGCCAACTCTCTCACCATAATTGACCCCAATCACACCACACGCTCATGCCAATTCACGAGGTGCTCCACTTGCCTGCCATCCGATGAACCATCCGATGAACAAGTCCCAGGGACACATAAAGTTGAGGTCAGTCCATCACCCAATGATTTGTCAGCATTTTTGAAACAAATGAGACAATAATGGAATATATATGAGTTTATCGGTTGCACGTTCAGTGGCTGCCCTACTAGCTCAGTCGGTAGAGCATCAGACTTTTAATCTGAGGGTCACGGGTTCGAGTCCCGTGTAGGGCTGTATATTTTTTGTCGCGCAACTCCTCGTTCTACCTGTCAACAGAAGTTGAGCCATTTTTTGTTTGCTATGTTTGTGTTGTGCTGCTGGTTAGTCAGATGGTAGAGGAAGGCGCCAGGGAGAGCAAAAGTCATTCTTGCTTGGCTAGGGGGTTGTGTCTGCAAAGGCAAGGGAGAAGCATACGCAGAAAAAGCGAGCATCTTTGCCAAGGGAGAGCAAAAGCAAAGCTTTGCCAAGGGAAAGGAGAGCAAAAGCAAAGCTTTGGAGAGCAAAAGCAAAGCTTTGCCAAGGGAAGGGAGAGCAAAAGCAAAGCTCTGCCAAGAGAAGGGAGAGCAAAAGCAAAGCTCTGCCAAGAGAAGGGAGAGCAAAAAGAAGGGGTACTCAGCCTCATGCCCGCATTCCAAGCTGTAGAGATTGTAATGCGTACGGGGAGGTCGTGCAGTCGTCTCGAACCCGTGACCCTCAGATTAAGAGTCTGATGCTCTACCGACTGAGCTAATGAGGCCCCGATGTTATTGTGATTTGAAATAACACATATGAATGACTCTGAAAGGCTCTGAATGAGAATTGTCAGCATGTTCAATTGGCCAGCCTCCCACGTGAGACTGAGAGAGAGGAGAGAGATTCAGGACCGTCTCTCTCACCTTGCTTGCTGCCTCCCCTACTCAAGGAAGACGATAGATAGGCAACAACACTTCACATGTCACACACGTGCACGTCCGCTACCTTTGGAAAACAAAAAGTTCACCGCAGCACCATTTGCTCAGGTTTTGGTAGAACCTGTCGGTCGGGATGAAGGGGGCTTGTGGACAGGTGAGCGAGCCCGTTGGCAGGGACAGGCAAGCAAGTGAATAACATGACGAGCGAGCGAGCTGCGCAGGGCAGCCAAAGTCAATCAAGCGCAAAAAGAGCAAAGCAAAAAAGAAGGGGTATTCCTCAGCCTCATGCCCGCATTACAGCCGAATGGCAGCTGCTATGCGTACGGGGAGGTCGAACAGTCATCTCGAACCCGTGACCCTCAGATTAAGAGTCTGATGCTCTACCGACTGAGCTAATGAGGCCCCGATGACTACTGCTGATCTAAATCCACATGTAACCTCCACATGCTTCCACGTTTCCCCGCTGGATCCTTTCGAGCACGTGTACAGCTGGCGGAAGCACGGGACACCACACTTTTGAGCAGCACATGAATGAGTGTGGGAAAAAAAAAGGACCCACATCTCGCACATCATCCCCAACGCAAGGTGGGTCGCGTCTATCATAACACGCGTCTATCATAACACGCGGTCGGTTCAATGTGCATGAACCATTCCTCAATGATACGGTCGGTCGACATGTCGTTTGCTCCACCCCGTTCCTGAACCTGAACGAAAGACGGTCGCACGCTCAATCACAGCCGGCACTGGGGCAGGGAGATGTAGTCATCAAATTCTTGCCCATAACTGGCATTGAGAAGAACATCGAGCAGCCCTTCTCCAGCTGCGGACAGTTCATCATGACCCCACCCACCATTGGGCAAAAAGGCACACACTGGTTGGGTCGCGTGCCCCCCGGGTCCACGGTCCACCACCTCCCCGTAGTTGTCGCCTTGCGAGCCTCAAGAAGCAGCTACACCACCCCAGTTGAACCACAAAAAAAAAAAAGCAAAAAGAAGGGGTACTCAGCCTCATGCCCGCATTCCAAGCTGTAAAGATAGTAATGCGTACGGGGAGGTCGTGCAGTCGTCTCGAACCCGTGACCCTCAGATTAAGAGTCTGATGCTCTACCGACTGAGCTAATGAGGCCCCGATGTTATTGTGAGTTGAAATAGCACATATAAATGGCGTTGTGTCATGCTGACTTTGTATTTGGTCAGCCACCTCACATTGATTGATGAACGAGCTGTGTGACTGAGCAAAAAGTGGTTGTCCAAAGCAATAAAAAACAGGTCGAACATGACCGCAGGTAGCAGGAAGCAGCAAAGCAAAAACAACCCATGATCAACACAGACAGTACAGCGCCCACACGACGAGCATGAAGGGGGACAGCATAAAAGCAGCGTTGCCAAAAGCAAGGGAGAGGAGAGCAAAAAGAAGGGGTACTCAGCCTCATGCCCGCATCACAATCAGAAGCGATTGTAATGCGTACGGGGAGGTCGTGCAGTCGTCTCGAACCCGTGACCCTCAGATTAAGAGTCTGATGCTCTACCGACTGAGCTAATGAGGCCCCAATGACTGTGGCACAATAAATCAAATATATGAAACAAAGGGAGCATTGATATTGTCATCATTTCTCAATCAATAATGTTGGTTGCCTTAACAGGGTGTGAGAATGCCTTGAGCGTTGTTATATGGGCAGCTGGTGTTGACGGGGATGCGATTCAGTAGGGCTTCCACATAGGTGGAGGTGTTGTACAGGTGTACGACGGTCATGAGGTCCGCTACCAGGTCGGGCCGGGTTGGGGCCAGATTGTAGTGCTCACCCTCATCGGCCAGGACGTCATACAGCTGGATGGCCGGCACGGCATCACAGCAGTCCTGGCAGCACGCAACCAAGCACTGGTCCTGAGGCGTTGGTGCGGTGCCATTGTAGGGGTGGTCGTCGTGGTACCAGTTGTTGGGTAGACCACCCCCTCCCAGGAGTAGCTTGTATCGGCCCTTCATCACCGCATATTGACCCACGCCATTGCAGGCGGGGCTCGTTGGGCTACATTGTGGGCCCTGGCAAGGGGCTGTGGTGGGATGCGAGCGCTCAATGTTGATGAGGGCGTGTTCTCGTTGAGGACCGGCGTTTTCAAACAGCATTGGATACTGGGAGACGCCATCCAGTGGCTTGTGCCAGTTTGGAAGACTGCCATTGATGGCACCCAGGTCCACCAGCGTAGGCAACCAATCGACTGCATGCATTAGGTTGTAGTTTGTCGTGCCGCGCAAGGCTGGGTGGACTTGTGCACCGTGCACCCAGGCTGTGCCACGCACGCCACCCTGACACGATGCGACCAGGCAGGCGGATAATCACTTGTCAGTGTCTGCCAGTCTCCTTCACTCTTTCTCTTTGCCTATCGGCGCCATCATACCTGAAAGTATGCCCCTTTGCCACCTCGCAGCGGGTAGTTTTGCGAGCCTGTGGCACAGCCAATGCCTTGTGGCTTGTCATTGTGGGACCCCACTGGTCCTCCTAGCATGACGCATTTGACAAAGAAGGCACTGGGCATGAGGCGCGCTTCCTGTGCGCCGGGAAGATGCTGGCAGATACGGGAGTAGCAATACCGTTGTCTGTGGTAAAAATAATCAAGGTGTTGTCGAACATGCTCCGTGCATGAAGAGCCGATGTGATGTTGCCAATGGCTTCGTCCATGGCCGCTACCATGCCGGCAAAAACTTGACGGTTGGGGTCCAAGTGTGCGTAGGGTGCCACATATGAGGCCGGTGCTTGAATAGGACAGTGGACGGACTAGCACACCCAATGAGGTCCGGAAGGCACGACCTAGTTTCTCCTTGTTAGCATGCAGCCCTGGCGTGTCCTCGTGATACTTCTCACCTGGAAGGCCATGTACATGAACAGAGGCTTGCTGGTATTGTGCGCTGCAATAATCTGGCGAGCTCGGTCTTGGTTGAGGAGCAGGGAAGGGTGGGTACCATATGAGCATTACTATCCAGTTGGCGTCGCTCGCTCACAGATGGCAGCAAATCGCTGGTGCCTACCAGCGTAGAGGAGGGTGGAATAGGTGCCTGTAGCGTTGAGATCAGTTTGAGAGCAATTGGGACCACAATTGGGGCCGTTGTCAATGTGAAAGTCGATGCCCGAGTCCTTGTGAGTGTAGTAGTCCTGCAATACCATGATAAAGGCGGTGTTGTGCATAAGCCACTCGCTTACAATGGCAAGAGTTGGATAGAAAGGACGGGTGGAAGAAGGTCGCGAGCACGACCTGCGAGCCACTGTAATAGCCATAAAACGAATTATAGCCACGAAACGTAGGGGTGTAGGCCCATTCATAGAGGCCTAAGGAGGATGTCCATGAGCATGGTCGCAAAGTGAGTGCTCGCGATTGGCCACAGCTGAGCGCGAGGTTGTGAGGCAGTAAACATGTGTTGCAGCGAACCGAGGTGCCACTGCATTCTCCAATCAAGATGTTGTGGGCCAAGGGGCAGCATGGGGATTGCGAAAGCGTGTGCGTTTGTGAGTAATTGGGGAGACAAATATCGTCGCGTCGCAAGCGCACAGAGAGGAAGCGCTGGGGCCGCACTTTGCCAAGAGCGTGGGTATCATAGCCTAGATTGCGCATGTATTCTGGAAGGAGCGCCTCGGTGAGATTGAGGCCATAGGGCTTGTTGTTGGGAATGACGCCGGTTTGCAAGCCATAGCGGATGTTGTATCTGCAGCGCGAGCGCATGTGCGCGGCATGAATGTCGGACAGTCTGGACGGTTTGATTCATCCATCGCACCGAGGCAACAAGCTGTGACAGAGTCAACGCACCGGCCCGTGTGAATGGCACTGCGGGTGGGTGTGCAGCAGTGCATAACATAGTAATGGCCCAAAATTGTGCCTGCGCTTCAGCATGGAATCGAAGCAAGAAACCATCAGCACTTGGTTGGCATGATAGCTCAGATGCCACGGTGAAGTAGGGCGAGAAACTTGCCATTGCGAGCCAATGCATCAATGTGAGGCGTGGCAATGCTACTCCCGGTGTAGCCCAGATCTCCAAACCCCAAGTCGTCTGCTACCTACAGATGTCCGATGCGATTCCGAGTGAAGCCCGCGGCGTGTGTGAGGGCTCAGCAAGGGTGATCCACAGCGCATCACTCCCCAGCACTTGAACTTGCGATAAAAAGAATATTCGGCTGGGACGCATGACCCTCGCTGAGCAACAGGCCCAGCAAAGTCAGTGACACAAGCCCGAGACGCCGCATCGTGCTCATGACTCCTGAAGGATCAAAAAATATACAAAAGTGCGTGACACTTGTGAATTTTTTAATTTTTTTTTTCTGTTGATGTACCACTCACTGCTGGATAAGTATTTCGTGACTCTAAGGCTTAGTAGCTGTGCCTGTGCCTGTGCCTGTGCCTGTGCTTGTGCTTGTGCTTGTGCTTGTGCTTGTGCTTGTGCTTGTGCGTGTGCCTGTGACTGTGACTGTGCGTGTGCGTGTGCCCGTGTCGTTGTGTGGGTTTTTATACTGCATGCTTGTTTGTGATTGGAGGGAGGTGTGAGATTCAAAAGGACAAGATAGGAACAAGCAGGAGTGTAGGAGGGGATCCGTTAGCAGTTGGTTGTAAAGAAAACCAAGCCCCTCAGCGAAAGCATATGCAACGTTCAAAGCACAAGCTGCTCGAAAGGCTGCTCGCTCGAAAGGCATTTGAGCACTCTTGTGGGGACTAGGATGTAAACTATCTAGCCAGGTTCAGTACATGTATTCTTGAACACACGCCAGTCTGAGATTGAGATCTGTTAGCTGGACCATGCTGTGTTTGTGGTCGTGTTCCAGACGCCAAAGGTCGGCAGGGTGCTGTTGAAAATTTTGTTGAGGTAGTTGCGGTAGATGTGATGCCGATCAAAGCAGAGAGCACACCATGGACTTAGATGGGATAGGCTGGGCGTCGAGTTTTTGAAGCAGACGTCGCAGCTGAGGTCATGCCCCGTGTCATAGCGCAAAAACACGCCCGTCTGATTCACTTGGGTCAAGTGGACGGCTGGATCCTGGCTGTCATCAACTTGCAATAGACAAGCTAGGGAATCGGATGTTGGGACCCAGTGCTGTCGACGCATATAGCCCAGAATACCAGGACAAGCAAAAGCAACTGCTGGAACAGGCGCCTCGGGTGTAGAGTGGTTGATTGCCGTCAGGAAAGCGAGCCCCGCCCCAAGACTGTGCCCTGTGGTCACCAGGCTGGCGGAGGGGTATTGTGCCTGCACCTTGGCTACCAGATGCAGGGCATTGGTCACGTAGTCGTAGGTTGAGCGATTAAAGTTTTGGCAATAAGAGGGGGGCTGTAGCCACGGGTGCCAAATGAGCCAGTCGGCGCAATTGTCCACCTGACCAGAGGGTGAGCTCTCGTTGAGATCCTGCCGGAGCATGGAGAGATCAACCGCGGGCAGGCTGGTCAGGGCGGGCAACAGAGCACGGAAGTACGATCAAGGCAGGGGAGCATGTGCAGACGGCTCAAAAACGCCCGCGGTGGCAAGTGAGGCAATGGACGATCAGCCACGAACCGTGCCCCGGAAGGCGATGATGATGCGTTGGGGATCAGTCTCGGCTTGGAGCACAATGGCGTGAAGGCCGAAATCAGGGGCCAAGCGTGTGAGCTCGCGGTAGCCCCCGACGTTGCTGGTCGATCCGTTGGTGTACGTGTCGGTGGTCACGTTGGCAAAGGCACCGATGATGGCGTGCCACTCGGACACGGTCAAGTTGCCTGCCCGCAACTGCGCGAGGTCCGACCAAGGCGAGGCATAGCGACAGCTCGTCGATGCAGAGGAGTACGACAGCACCCATACCAACATCACTGCCGCAAGCCGCCAGCTTGCAGCATCCGTCCCACACAATCCCATCTTGACTGACATGCCGCACGGTCAAAGCCCGACGCTTGACGCGCTCGCCCCCGTACCCTCCCTCACAAAGGGCGGAGGCAGCGCAGATGTCGGATCCGATGTGTGTGTGTGTGTGTGTGTGTGTGTGTGTGTGTGTGTGTGTGTGTGTGTGTGTGTGTGTGTGTGTGTGTGTGTGTGTGTGTGTGTGTGTGTGTGTGTGTGTGTGTGTGTGTGTGTGTGTGTGAAAAACTTGGTGAGACAAGTTTTGATTTTTTTCTTTTTTTTTTTAATGGTGGGGAAAGGGGTGATTTTGAACATGGGTTGACAGTCCTTACATGTACTGCGTGCAGTTGCGGAAGGCATTCACGCCTGCGGTGGTGGGGCTGGCTGTTCACAGAACATTGTAGGCAAGAAAAGGCCAGGCGACAGATCTTGCATCAGCAGTTATGATCAATTTAGGGGACATTGGTTGCGCAAAGGTGTGACCAGGGGCGTCAAGGGTTCTTTGACAATCAGTGTTTTGTGCAGGCCCGAGGCGCAGGTTTAGTCGTCAGCGACATCCTCCTTGGCCTCTGCTTGGTCGGAATCGTCCGAGTCGCTCGAATCGCTCGAATCAAAGCGGAAACTGTTGCCAGGAGACTTGACAAGACGAGCAAAGTACAGGGGCCCAAAACCAGAGCGATCAGGTAGAGCGATAAAGCCACACTCGGTGGGCTCGGCAAACCAGCTTGGACACGTGCTCTACTCAGTGTGGTCGCCGTACACGAAATGAGGGGCGAAAGAAAAGGCGTAACGTCAATGAAACAGATGGCGCCGGGGGCTTACATCGACGCTGAGGGTACCGCCGCTGCGCTTGATGATTGTGCGGACAACGTCGTCGTTTTCCATATCAGATAGAGCACACGTGGAATAGACCACCGTACCCCCGGGCTACGCAACCACCGGGAATGACCGCCGGAAATGACCAGGCGTGAGTCAAGGTGGTGGGTTTTGCTCAGCGAGTGGAAAGCGCCTCACCTTCAGGGCCTGTGCAGCCGCCCATAACAGTTGAATCTACTCCAAACACCGGGGGCAGAGTTTTCGTGGCGATCAGCACGGGGGATCAGCAGCACGAGGGATCAGGCTGGCAATGCATCAACGAGCCCGTGTGTGTCTCTCAAGGTCAACTGGCGGCGCACCTGGCGCTTGCTATTGGCACGAATACGCGTGGGAGACCAGACGGCCAGCTCATCAAGATCCATAAGAACGTGTCTGTGGTGGGCAGGCGGTCAAGATCTTGAGTACCGAGCTGGCTGACAATACCGAGCTGAGGTAAGCTTGCCAGCAACGAATTGCAGCCAACGCACCGATCACTTGAGCAGGGGGCATCAACGAGGATCTTTGAATATTGTTCCTTGCCCAAAGCACGGGCTCTGTATATCCAAGGAAACAGCTTGAGACATCGGCCGGCAAGAAAAATATGTGCGTCAGGACATTGGACTGAGAAACGCACCGAGTGCCGTCCAGGCCGGTGACGCGCACACCCTTGTGACGGATGCGTTCGGGCAAATAGTCGATCATGACACGCTGCAGGCGGGATTGCCGGCCGCTTGCCCTGAGCGAGCACAGGGGCATGGCAGCGCCAATAGCAAACATACATACAGAGAGACACGAATACAAACACACGCACACAAACAAACAAACTTCCTGGTCAGATCATGGTACCCGACAAGCCCTTTGAGTGCGTTGAAAGCAGGTAGCAGGGTATGGGCGGCAGGCATCGCACCGTTCATTGGCCTGGATGTGTCCTCGGCCGTCCAGCTGTTCTGCCAGAATGAGAGCCTTACCGCCAGGAGCAGCGCAGAGATCCAAAACCGTGTCTCCCGCTGCGACCAAGAGGGCCATAGGCTGAGATGAGAGGGGCCAGAGGGAATCCTTGCCAAGGTTTGTGACAGAAACTCACGTTGAACATTGAGGGCAAGGGCAGCTAGAATGCTGCTAGGGTCCATGAGATAGTAGTCAAGAAGGCCCGTAACCTCGCAACGTGGGGGTGGGGCAAAATCCCTGTGCGGGTAGGGGTCAAGGGTGAATTGGCGGCACCGGGCATGCCGCGGAGGAAAGAGGGTGAGAGGTCCAGGTCCGACCTGGGCACGGGGGTGGTCGCGTCGGGGTCAGCGGGGAGGCGATATGCTTCCACATTGTCGCCCAGCTCGTGGACCCGCTCCGCATCCGGATAAGCATCAAGGAGGCGGGAGCGGGAGCGGTCGATGTTTCCAGCGCGGTTGAGCCGGGCGACGTGGGAGACGGGGCGCACCAGCGCCGCCTGCAGGTCTGACCATCTGCTCGCAATGGCCCCAGCAGCACGACACGTGGTGGGAGGATGAGCGTCAGGCAAGATTGTAGCCACGGGGACACACGAGGGTCCCGCTGAGCAGAGTCAGCAGGAGTCACGTACCGGCTTCCATACTGGCGGCGATGGAACTCGGAGAGCCGGTGCAGGCCCTCTCGCGCTGCCGCTGCCGTTGATGCCTCCATCTCGACGGATTGATGGATGGAAAATCCTGTTCAGACAAGTATGACAAGTCAAGTGCGTGTTTGTGAATCATTCAAGCGTTACTTTTAGCGGTTCAGCGATTGAAAGTTTGGCAGAGTAATTTCCTTGAATGATTAACTTTGTGTAGGATTTAGAGTACTTTATGTAGTTTCAAACCGAATGGTAAGCCAAGAAGATGAATTTAAATGACAGATTATTGTCTATCAAAGTATCATAGGAGTCCAACTTGGGTCTGCGTGTCCAACTGTACAAGAGAGGAGCGAAGAACAAAAGAAAACAAAAGAGAGAGAGAGAGAGAGAGAGAGAGAGAGAGAGAGATTTAACACAAGCGCAGCAACAGAAGCAGCAGCAGCAGAAGCTACAGCAGGTACGCAGATTCGATCAGGCCTCAAAAGGGCATCCAGTGCAAAGGCCAAGACACCAAGGACAGAGAGAGAGAGAGAGAGAGAGAGAGAGACAGAGAGAGAGGGAGAGGGAGAGGGTAAAAAAGGGCAGGGGTATGAGGTTGAAGTCTCGTTGCGGGATGGCAAGCACTGCTCGCCTCTATCACTGACGGCGAGGGGGAGGGGGTGGGGCAGGGTGGAGCAATGACAAAAGGGCAGCGGGGGTGGTGGGTGTGAGTTTGTAATGTGTTATTTACTCATTGATGCTTGCTTTTGATTAGCTTTGGCTGTCACTTTCTGCAAGCAGGCGCTGTGCCTGGACCGCTACCATGCCCATCGTCCAGCGTACCGTTGAACCGGTCCACGTCAGTGTTTATGCTCTTGCCCAGCCTGCTAGATTCAACCGAGCTCCATGTTGTTGCTCGAGTGTCTGTGTTGAACTAGCTCAAGACTCTTTGGCCTTGTATCTTGTCGCGCTCTTCCATGCCCTTCTCGGCCTGGACGAGCTCGACATTTTAAGATCAAGATTCGTAAAGTTGGCTCACCTTGCCTTGGCTGTTTCTCTTCCTCGATACTACAGCTGTGCCGTGAGCCCTTGCCGCCACGATGCAAGAACGAGCTTCAGCAGGTTGCCGTCAATGCGTTAGCGGGTTGGTTGCCACACCTCTTGGCTCCCCTTTACAGACTCACCCCCCGCCCCCCCCGCCCCCCTCGCTTTTTTTTTTGTGTGTTGTCTGGAACCAAATTTCGACAACACCCCCATTGATCCTCACTTAACGCTGCTTGTACTCAGGCATTCTGCGTCAATTGGGTGATGTGGCTCGCCACGCCGAGGAAATCTTTGGCGATCTAGTTGATATTGCATCCAACATTGCCGAGCGGACTGCGGATGTTGAGAATCGGCTCACCGTCGCTCGCCAGTCCGTTGCGACCATCCAGGTGCCCACCAAGTTTGGTACGAACCGTTTTGCTGCTTTCCCTCCACTCCAGAACCCGAAACTATTACTTGCAGAGCATGACTCTCTCCTCCTCCTCACTTCATCCGCCCTCTGCACACATCTGTCCCCCATTTCTCCTAGACGTGGCCGAGCTGATGTCGGGCGAATCTTACCAGCGCAGCCATCCCTTTGATCAGCGCCTCATCTCCACCATGGCCAAACCAGGCTCACTCGTTGACAAGTATCGCACTTGTGATCCACCCCCAGACCTCAACAAACTCAACCCCTATCGCGATGACAACCTGGTACGCTAGCGCTGCTCTTTCTACTCCCCCCCCCCCCCTTTTTTTTCGCACACTGGGTGTTTTAACCTGCTCGCTCTTGTCGTCTGCGTTGCAATTTCGCACCCCGCCTCACCATGGCTTCCCTCTAATGGCAAAACGATAACAACCAGATTGCTTTGACAAAGTACACGGATCCAGGCTTCTTCCTGCGATTGTGGGTGGAGCAGATGCGTCTTGAAACCGAAGAGCAAAAGAAGAAGCGCAAGCGCCGTAAGAAAAAACAGGCTCGCTCTCAGCAGACCACATCGCGCCGCCAAGTTGCTCGCGTGGCCAAGAAGGAGTACTCAGCCATGGGTTCAGAATTCAACGATGACCAGCGCGCCCTCAAGCAACAACAAATTCAACAGGAGCAACAACAGCTCCGCCAGCAGCAACTGGAGCGTCAAGCCCAGAGTCAGGGCCAGGACATGGGCCCTCCCCCTACCAACGCGCCTGCACCCGCCAAACCCGCCGGCGCGCCACCGCCGCCGCCGCAAAAGCCCGCCGGCGCACCACCCCCACCCCCCTCCAAACCGGGTGCAGCACCACCTCCGCCACCGGGTGGCAACATCCCCCCGCCGCCTCCGACCGACGCCCCGGCCAACATCCCTCCTCCTCCACCCATGGGTGCAACGCCGCCACCGCCGCCACCTCCTGGCGCGGGTGGTGCACCGCCGCCGCCGCCTCCCAACACCGCCAAGCCCGTCTTGGTCCTCGAGGGCATGGAGGATGATGACGCTACGGAAACAGACATGCCGGCTCCCGTGATGCCACCTCCCATGAGCGCTCCGGCGCCCCCGCCACCACCAGGTTCAGGTGCCCCTGCACCACCCCCGGCCCCTCCCATGGGCGCCCCACCTACGGGTGCCCCTCCCCCACCTGGCCCGGCTCCGCCACCCATGGCCAACATCCCAGCACCACCTGGTGCACCCCCGCCGCCAAGCATGGCCCCCTCGGGTGCACCCCCACCCCCAGGACCCCCCGCCCCCCCGCCTGCCCCTGAAAGTCTGGCCAAGGCAGTGGGTGGTGCTGGTGGCCACGGCAATGCCCTTTTGGATGCCATTATGAACAAGCGTCTCAACAAGGTCGATCATCAGGAAGTCCAAAAAGCTCGCCATGCCAGTGCAGGTGGCTCGGATGTTGCCGCCATCCTGGCTCGTCGTATTGCCGTGTACGGCTCTGACTCGGAAGATGATGGCTCGGATGATGAGGATTGGTCCGACGACGAGGAGTGGGACTAAATTGGCCCACAGTTGGGCAAACTTAGAGCTGTCCTCATACAAATCAACTTCTTTCCTCGCTCTCCTCTCTTGTTGTGTCTGCGTTTGCTCTTGTTCCATGCTAATTCGCCAAGGCGTCGATGAAAGGTCAGGGTTCTTGTTCTTGCTGGTGCCACCTTCTCGACATGTCTTGTTTGTTTTTCTCTCCCCTCCAACGGCAGAAGAGAAAGTGTAATTGACAATCTCTTGCCTTGGGCCAATCTTTTTCTCGATTATCTCAAAAGGCATTCGCACGAAAAGCGTCGCCCTCTGCACAACTGATGTGGTTTAGGCTGAGCTGTTGGGTGAAAACGTGGTGGCGAGCAAAGCAAAGTACTGCGACAACAAAGACGACAAAATGCGAACAAGCCCGTCTTGATGGGAGCTGCCGGAAGGTGTTCTTGTTCGACGATGTCTTTCAAATGGGTTTAAGTGGATCCAAAGTCCCGCATCCACTTCTCGTACTTGTCCAAGTCCGCCTGTTGATGGATTCGAGGGTGAGCTTGGCCACATTTACACTGCGCAATAGGTCCCGGTTTTGATACAATCTCAAACCTTGCTCGGTAATATAAGAGTAAGCTTACCGGAGAAACCGAGGGCGCCACCTTGCCCAGCGCATCGACCAAATCTTGCTGCGAGGTGGGCAGGTTCAACTTGTCCTTACCCATGGCCTTGATTTCAGCGGGGGATTTGCCCGCGATGGCACGTCGCATTGACTAGAAAAAGCAAGGTAAAGCAAAACGCCCAAACAACATTGGTGTCGTGTGAGCACAAGGGAAAGAGTATGGACGAGGATGGTGCGCATGGGTGGGCTGGGCCGAGTACCGCCTCACGCACCATCATGGCAGCGTCACGGCAGACGTTGGTGAGATCAGCACCCGAATACCCATCCGACTTTTTGGCAATAGCGTCCAAATCGACATCATCGGCCAGCTCAACGCTCTTCAGGTTAATGTCCAACAGCTGGCGACGTCCCTCCGCTGTCAGCCAGATCAAAGAAGAGGAAGGCACATCGGTAGATGGATAGATAGATAGATAGACGCAGGAAGATAAGAGGAACAAACAGGGCAGCATGGAGAGAGTAACAGGGAGACACAAAGGTGAGGAAGACAAAGGCCGGCCTGCTACGCATCGTGTTCTTCGCTTGAAAGTATATGCCAACCACACCCGACTTACGCGAGGGCAAGGGGATGTAGATGCGCTTCTCGAGGCGACGACGGAGTGCCTCATCAATCTGCCAAGGGAAGTTGGTGGCAGCCAACACCATGACAACATTTGAGCTGTCACCCGTGGCACCATCCACGCCGTCCATTTGGACCAGCAGCTCTGACTTGATGCGACGCGAGGCCTCGTGCTCATTGGAACCTAGCAGAGGTAAAAAGAGAGGCAGGTGAGGAGGTACTCAGAAGAGCAGAAACACAGCTCTCTCTGTCGGGTGTTTGATCAACCGCGAGGGCTGAGTGGGCCTTTGCATGAGAGACTCAACAAACACGTGGTTGTTCCAAGCACACAGCACACAAAGACACATACATACCGCCACGCGAGCTGGCCAAGGAATCAATCTCGTCAATAAAAATGGTGGTGGGTGCATAATGCCGAGCCATTTCAAAGAGGAGGCGCACGAGCTTTTCGCCATCACCACGATACTTGCTCGACAGCGTGGATGAGGTCACATTGAAGAAGGTTGTGTTGCACTCGGTTGCAACGGCCTGGCATGGACAGGGCAGAGTGTGAATGGCCCCCACAGTAGTTTTTGGACTCGGGGTAATTTGGCGGTTAGCAGGATGCCTTGACATGATGCGCAAGGATACGGGCTGCTTTTCTAACCTTGGCCAGCAACGTTTTGCCGGTACCAGGCGGGCCGGTCATGAGCACGCCCTTCCATGGGCGACGAATGCCAGTAAAGTAGTCGGGTAGCAGCATGGGCAGAACCACCGCTTCCTCCAGCAGTTTCTTGGCCTCGCCATGGCCGGCAATGTCATCCCAGTGCACGTTGGGGTTGGTAGTGATCATGTCGCGTTCAAGCATGGACACCAATTCTGGGTCCCAGCCCCGAGCTGCAATCACGTTGGTGTGTGCGGGTGAGCCGTGCTCGAAACAGGCAATGTGACTGGGTGAAAAATTTGGTTTGAAGTCGTGGCCCGGGAGAGCAGCAAACCTTCGGCATCAAAGCTGGGCTTGCTGCGTTCGCCGTCATCCTTCTTGCGGTCGTTGGTCTTGTCACTTCCACCGCGCCCACCGCGAGCTACACCAGACCAATACAAACCGATCAAACGTGGCAATGAAGCAACCGGCGCCCGTGAGGGTGTGTCACAGATGCGGATGGCGACGATGGCGACTCGTCCAATGACACACCTGGGACGCGACCATAGCCAGAGCTTTGAACTCCAGAGGTAGAGGTGGATCGACCACCGGCGCGAGCCTTGTCGCCCGGGCGCGAACGGCCAGAGCCCCCAGATGACCCCCCAGTACCGGGGCGGCGACCATTGGCAACACCAGGTGCGCGAATGTTGCCCGTTTTGGGAGGGTTCCTGCTGTTCAAGATAACGAGGGGCAAGAGAGTTTGAGAGTTTGAGAGAGTTTGAGAGAGACGCGGGGAGGTCAAGTCTTGACTTTGTGCGAGAACGGGGTGGAAGGAGCCCTCCTTGAGAACATTGGCCTGTGCACAGGAGCGTGGTGTTGGATGTGTACAAACCTCGCTTTGGGCTTGCTGTAAGAGGGACGGTCCAGAGGTGGGGGCGGGCCCCACACATCTGGGTCGTTCTCATCTGCGGCCGAGGCGCTGGCTACAATTCCAAGTCACATCGAAAACGGGAAAGAAATGATGTGAGAGGGGCCATTCAACTGTGGCAAGTGTCGTTGGGACCCACCTTCCGGCTCGGGCTTGCTGAGAAACTGAGCGAGTTCAGTGCGAATTTGCTTGACTTGCTCAAGTTCTTGCGAAACTTGCAGCGATGCCTGTGTGTCGATACAACGCCACAAGATGAGCCAGCCGGCCGCGCAAAGACACAAGCAAAACAAATACGCAAACACAAGAAAAAAAAACGTTGTGGCAGACGCGGGCGGGAAATGGAGAATCTCACCTGTTTCCACTTGGCGCGGGAAGCAAGATCACAGCTGCCCATGTGCTGGGAAATGGCCTGTTGTACACCTAGATGCCAGATTGGGGCAGGGTGAGGAAGAGCCCGTTCATGACAAAAAAAAAAAAAAAAAAAAAAAAAAAGCCAAAGTTGGTTGCACCCAAGATATCCTCTGCTAGCACGGCACGGCTGGCAGCTTGGATGTTGTGCGTTTGGCAGCATGGGCACACCTTCGTAATAGACGAGTGAGGTGTCGTAGTTGCCGAGCAGCGCAAACTCGCGCGCCATCTTCAGCTCATCCGGAATCCGCATAATGGCTGCCATATCGCTGGTTGCCAACAACCTGCCGAAAATGCACCCATCAGTGTGAGTCTACTCTAGTCCACAACCATGCTCGCGCATCTCTAGCATATTGACAGTCAAGTCAGTATCCCTAAATCCATGCCCCGTCTGACCGTCCCACCACCACCACCGCCACTTGTCGTCGTCATCGCCGCCGCCGCCATCGTCGTCGTCGTCGCCGGTTGTCGTCTCACCTGTTTCTCCTTTCAAATGCCACACACACACACACACTCTCTCTCTCTCTCTCTCAATTTTTTTTTTTTTAAATTTCGTAGAGTTTTTGGGCATTGAACCAAATCGTATATTAGTCTGAAAGTTACTGCATTTTCTTTTACAGGTTTGGTTGATCTACAGCAAGAGTCTTCAAAATTTCCTTCTTCTTCTTCGTTTTCTTCTTCGTTTTCTTCTTCTTCGTCTTCTACTGCTGCTGAATGATGAAAATTTCACTGCGTTCGCCGATACTCGGGTTTGCGGTCTCGAGCGTCGAGGTTGGAAGTCGCCGGTAGGCGAGATGCTGGCAATTTGCAATTCACGGGTCGCTCAGGACCGACTTGTGCTTGCTCGGCAAGCTTACAGAGACAAAAGGATGGATCCAGGTGTGTTGTGAGTGACAGGTCGCCAGGCATAACACCTTAGCGTCGGCGTTGAGCTCGTGTTGTGCGGGCAGTCGTGGCGACGTTGGTGCTTGCCAAGTCCACACGACTCTGCCGGGCGGGGCGCTTGGGCGAAGAGGTCACGCCTTTGGACTTGGCAGGCATTCGACGAGTTGTGGTTTTGATGGACTTGGTCTTCGACGGCGACGGGGTGTCCGGCTGACCTTGCGCATCTTTACGAGCACGCTTTTGCTCCGTCTTGGCGGCCTTTTCTGCAAGGCGGAACGCCTTGATATCTGCTACTAATTCGCTCGGCAAGCAAGGTGCAAAGGCAGGCAGTTCAGCTGCAAACAGCAGGCTAGACATTCCCGCATACCCGGCAATTTGAAAGCACATCATGCGTGAGCCAAGCAAAGGGTTGCACGCTGAAGGCTATGGCATGAGGGGTTTTCTTATCAATCCAGCACCAAAAGCTCAGAGGATCATACCTATGTGCCCATCCCGCGTAGGAACCATATCGAGCACGGAAAAGGTCGCCAACCCGCTTGTATATCGTGGGTGTCAGCGAGCGGGCATGAGCCAGCTCCTTGTCCATGTCCCTCACCGCAATCTGTAGTCACGCATTCAGTTCCGTTGAGGTTGTGCAGATTCCACAACCACGGTACTTTTGCCAGGCACAGGGGCGGACCTGCCAAACGTGCGTGTCCACGGGTATTGCGCCAATCTGATCCAACGAAAACAGCGCTACACAATCCGCCACCTTGGGCCCCACCCCGGCAAACTGCACGAGAGCCTATTGTCCTTGCGGCAAACTGCAATGAGAATGCTTGACATGGCAGAAACCGTTTTATAAGTAACAGCACAGACGTGAAGAAGAAACCACACACACCTCTTGCACTTGTGCGTAGGGCTGCGTTCGCAGACGCTCGAGATAGGGCTCGCCTCCCAAGCGCTGCAGGGCCTGACACGTCTCTGTAATAAACTTGGCCCTATTACCGTGAATTCATTGGATAAGCAACGCTCGAGACCTTCCTTGCAAAACACGGTAAGCGGCTTTATCGTACCGATAGCCCAGACCAAGTTCACGCAAATGAGCTTCGCCAGCTTGACTCAGGGACGTGAGAGTGGGAAAGGAATACAGGATTTGGCCCGTGGCCAGCTGGCCAGCCGGTTGACCATAGTGCTGTTTCAAGCGGTCCAGCATCTGCCACCACGTGTCCAGAAACATGATGGTTATTAGCATGGCCTCAATACTGCTGAGAAACGCTCCCGAGGTGCAATTCCTGGAAGGCTTGGTGCACCACCAAGAGCAGCGTCCAGCAGCGTACCAAAGTGATGCGGCCAATGTTGTTGTTGGAGGAGCAGATGAAGGAGATGAGGCATTCAAAGGGTGGCTGGCGCAGCACCCGAAGGCCGGGTAAATGATCAGCAATGGTCTACAAAAGTCGACGTGTCCCCGTAACCGTTGGGAATAGTGCCACGGTAAGCTGCGGCAGTCGATACTCCCGCGTTGTTCTTTCGAGCATGCCACAAAGTGACCCACCTTCATTCGGGGATCAGCGGCCGCCCAAGTGGCGTAAAGGCGAGACAGAGAAACATCAAGCTGAAAATAATCGCGCAAAGCATGGTAGATCGAGGCTTCCTCTGGGATGGGAGACAATTGAGCCGCATTCACCGGCTCATTTTGCAATTCAGGTGCGGTGCCCTCCAAGGGCAACACTGCATACACGACCGCCGGACCACTGGGTAACCGAGCATGACGTAAAATGACGGCGCGACCAGCCAGCTATGTGGGTGCGATTCATGCCGCCAGACATGTCGGTGAGGAATACTTCTTGTGGCGCCCTGAAGCGTTTCCTTTGGTACTGCCCGAGGACCAGGCCCGCCTCTTACCACGGTTGCAAACGCCTCATTAAAAGCTGGCACACCAACTTGGTCCGTGATGGCGGGTGGCTCGAACGCAGCAGCGTCCACCTTGTCAATGACAGGTTCCTGTGATGGTTCAAGACTCAAGTGGCTCCATCCAAACGCTTGTCCACACGTCAAAGCGTGCCTCAAGTGCAACTCTTGCAGGTTGGCGCTCAACAGCCGCCATCCCAACTTGGGCGCCAGCGCCATTTTTCTCCATCAAAGCAAGATAGATGCAAAAAAATTCGAAAAAAAAAATAAAATTTTTTTGACGACTTGTGAATGTTTTTTTTTTTTCTTGAGCGGGGGATGGGGACGAGCATTTGTAACGGTCGGCTCGTGTGGGTACCTGAGTAAAATATAATACCGGCAGGCTCTTGTGGGTATCTTATTACAATAGTACCAATCGGCTCGCGTCGGTGCACCCCGTCAACTTCAAAATTGTTACTCCCATCATCTCAAATCTCATCTCTCATCATGATAAGACAACTTGGGAGGGTACGGGGTCAGGTCTGGGGCGTTTCATGCCTCCCTCTTTGTCCCAGCCCCAGTTCCTCTTCTTGTTAAGAGCTGTGTGCATTCAGCTCACAAGAGCAGCTTCAGTATGATGGTGGTATGAAGACACATTGCATGATGGATTAACATGTAAATTCATGGACGAGCTCGTCACGGGAAAACGAAGCTCCCGTAGCAAACCAGCAATCTCCATAAGATTTGAAGGCGTTATTGTAGCTTGAATCAGACACTAGACACCACTTTCATGGAAGAGCGACTCCGGCGTGGGCTGATGGGCTCTTGGTTGTTCAATGCGGCAGGGCTAGGGTGTCGTGGGTCTGAAATAGAGCGAGATCGCTTGAGCGCCTTTCGCTTCCAAATTCTTGCATACTTGCGTGCTGACAACAAGGCCCGCTCGTCGCCAGTTTTATCGTCATTGTCACGCCGCATCCAGTTCAGCACTGCCTTTTGAGGCACACTCACGCTCTCACCACCTACGATACCACATTGGCCCGTGAATGGGAAAGGCGCGGGCGATCATCTACGCCCTAGCTCACGGAACAGCCTCTCAATCCGTCAAAAGGTCACCACAACAGTGTGTGCACCACTTACCATCACGATCTGAATTGTGAAAGTGGTGGCGGCGCTGAAGCACGTAGACCCGATCCCCTAACACAAACGGCAACAAATGCATAAGCAAAACTTGAACAGGAACAGGAACAGGAACAGGAACAGGAACAGGAACAGGAACAGGAACAGGAACAGGAACAGGAACAGGAACAAGAACAAGAACAAGAACAAGAACAAGAACAAGCGTGTGCGCAAAAAAGCCAAGCTCTCACCCGGTTTGATGGGCATTTCGTCATCTGGGTTGGGCATGGTGAGCGTGATTTTGCCCAAGGCACCCCCCGTATGCATGTGCATATTCCAGTATTCAGATGGATGATGACGGTGCGAGTCGCCGCGCATGTACAAGCGGCGCCCATGATGGTGTCGGCGTTCTTGGTTGGGTCTCGAGTGGCCCTTGCTCTCCTTGTCATTGTTGCCAGCCTCCCCATCTGACGAGTTGTGTTGCATGATCTGCGTTTGAACGCGGCGCGTCACCTGGACACCAAGCACAATCTCACGCTTGCGCTGAATGAAGTATCGGCACACATCGCCATAGTCCTTGATCCGCCAGTACGATAGCAGCTGCAAACATGGTGGTTCACCAAGACACACCACAATCGTGCACGAGCACGCGCACAATGGAGAAGCAGAGTGAAAGAGCGAGCAAGTGAGTTGGCACACGCTCGACGTGGTGTGCCAGCACGGCATCGGATATAGCAGCCCGATCACACATACATCGTGTTGCAGGGTTACAAGTCGGATGTGTGTCGGCGAATCGTCACATCCCAACATGTTGCGAAAAAACTAAAAAGGCCAGCGTGTTGCAGGTAACGAGCAGCGCGAGTCTTGTTGGTCACATGGCTTTCGGAGGGTCAGAAGAGAGGGGCTTAGCAAACGACACGGCGCTTGACATACGGGGATCACATGCTTTTTAGCTGGCTGCAAGCTTTGAAAAAGCAGGGAATGAAGCATGCCGGCAGTAAACACTTTGCCTGAAGCAAACGAGAGGCGGAAAATGTAGCCTCCCGCTCCTTTGATCAACCGCTCATAGCTGTCATGACGCATGGGATAGCGCACAGTGGCATACACAGAGTGAATGTCGATAAAGTTTGCAGCATGACCTTGCATTAAAAAATTAGGCTCATGGCGACGAACCGAGTACGCCAGGCAGCTTCAGCCGACGCGCGCAAAACGGCACGGGTTCGACCCCGCTCAGTGATGGTGGCATTCTCAGGCTCCGAAGCCAGACCCAGCCCTGCGGCATGCTGGCGAGAGCCAGTGCTCAAGCGTCGGTGCACCGATGGCTGGTTGCTGGATCCTGCATTATCCTCGCTTGCCAACCCTGCGACATGTACAGCCGGATAGGGTGCGCGTCAACAAATGTTGATTGTTGCATCAACCATTGGCAGCTCTCAACTCCCACCGTTCGTGGTGCCAGCAGCACGAAACACCAACCTTCGCCTTGTGCAAGCCGATAGTCATCAGGGTCAAGGGCTGTGAAACGAATGAAGCGCACATTGGCTTTCTGCGTCAGCTCAGTCAGAACCTCAACTTGGGGAAAGACGGCCTAATTCAAGCACACCAATGAGCGCCAGTACAGCCGACCGCGGGCAATTCCGCAATGTGACAAAAGTCATTGTGTTTGAGCAGGTCCAGCCAGAAAATGCGCGTCGCACGAGCAAATAGACGGCAGACGGCGTGCTGACCAGCCAGATAGCTCGAGTAATGTACCTGTGTGTTTTGTGTTGTCAGGATATTCTCGCTATCGATCATGCGGCTTTCCAAGGAACGAGTATCGCCATAGTTGGCAAGGACCAGGACGAGTTTGGCACCCCTCAGGCACGCGCGCAGCAAAGAACGTGGCTGGTCCAGGTTACCCTCCAAAAAGTAGACAAAGGGAAACAGGACCATGAACCTAAGATGGCGTCAAGTCGACTGTGAGTACACTGTGCCCAATGGTCACAAGCCACACAGATTTCAGATGTCTGCAGGCTGGTGCAAATGCACCGACAGCGAGAAACCAGCAGACACGCTGGCAGAGAGGCTGATGGATCGTGCGTCGACGAACCGTTTGAGGCGCTCTGGGATGCTGTTCTCGTCACGAACGAGCAAGACAAGGGGGGCAAGGCGTTCGGGGTCCAGCGAGGCGCTTCGCATGACGCGAATCAAATGATAAATTCCACTGCCAATGGCTTCACCTTCCGGCAATTGTACGATGACAAACTCTTGCAACCGCCTTTCACGTGACTCAAGGTACTCGGAGGTTATGTTGGCAGCCTTCTGCGCCGAACGCTTTGTCTGTTGAACAGGCGCGTGGACGCGCAGATGCACCTCGGAGAGCTTCAAATCACTCATGGGGCGTGCAGTCCGCACAACAAGCTGGCGGGCATCACCAGTCTGACTGTGATACTCAACAAAGTGGCCTAAGCATATGTTCGAAAACGGGGAAAAGGGGATTGAGCAAAAGTTGAAAAAGAAAAGTGTGCTGTCTCACACCAGCTGGTCTGGTCTGCAACCTACACTCGTGGTCTGGACTGCCGTGATACATGGCGTGATGCTTGAGTTTGACCTGTGGAAATTGCCACGGCCAATTTTGAGACGGTGAATGGGCGCCGACTGAATTGCAGGATTCAACATGGAAGAATCAAATCAAAGTCATGGCCCATGTTGACTTGAGCGGCTTGAAACTGACCTGGACAACAATGTAATCCATGTTCGCCTCAGCCTCGTCGTTCTGGGTCTTGCGGAGGCGAACCACCTCACCGAAGGAGCTGGAGCGGCGCATGGTGCGAGCACGCTGCCGCGCGAGATCTTTGGCATTCTATACTTGCGTACTGGCGTGAGCAAAACGACCAAGCCGAATCATACTTTAGGCGTCAATATCTCACCCTTTGCCATTTCTTTGCAGCTCGGCGGACCGCAAAGTCTGAGGGAGCTGATGCGGTCTTGTGATGTGATTTGTCCACCGGATGTAAAATGGCGCCTGCCTTTGCTGGGTCTGGCTGCGGGCGCTCAGGAGGGAAAAAGCTATCGCTCAGGGCCGTGTCTCGTTCGATCAGGCTCGCCACGTCTTCTGCCGGTGCCACAACAGCCGGGTTACCAAAGGACGAGGCACTTGGGAGGGCGACTGGGTCAGTCGCGGCCGTTACAAAGCTGCTGGTCGACGGGTTGCCCGACGATGGCACAGAAGCTGCGCCAACTGAGTCCTTGGGGTCATCTTCTGCTTGCATCTCATGTGGCGAATCAGGCTGAAACACGGGGTCATCCGAGGCGCTATGAATGCTTCTTTGACGGGAGAGCCGCTTGCCTTCACCAGAGGCCTCTGAGATGGTGGGTAGCTGGCTTGAGGGATCAGGGTAATGGACCACCTCAAAGTCCGCACTTGAAAGGCCTCGATTCGCAAGCGTCTCATGCACGGCCTCCTGGTGCTGCTCCGACGCAGGATGCTCATGGTTTGGCGGCGAGTCATTGGAGTTCTCCTCTGATACCTCGGCAACGGGTGATAGAGGTCGATTGTTGCCTGCTTCGGGTTGAGGCGAGGCGTTATCGGCGTTCGGTAGGCTTTGCAACGAAGTATCCGACTCACGAGACTCCAACGGTGCAGGCAAGGAGGTGGAAGTGGGCTGAGGCTGGGGTTCCGGACCCGTTCCATGGGATGACCCATCAAAACCAGGCCGTGGTGCTTTGCGCTTTTTCGAGCCACGTGGGACACGGTAAGCCTCGGCACTTGCCGCCAAACGATCCGTCTCAAGGATAATCATGTCCACGTCACGAGCGCGAGCAATGTATAGGCAAATGTCGCCCTTGAGAAGCTGATAATTTGCACCCGGGTTGAGCTGAATTTCGCTGTTGCGCAAAATTCCTACCAAGCAAATCTTCTTCTCAACCAGATCGGAGGCGGCTTCGTAGAAGTTTTGGTTGATGTAGCGTTTGAAGACGGGCGAGTCGTCGATGAGCGCTTGATAGTATTCGTTTGCAGCGGCGCTTTCGTACACGTCGAGAATGTCCTTGGCTTGCTCGTTGTCAATGGGCTTAATCTTGGTGCCACCGTGTGCAATGCTAGTGATGAGAGAGGTAGCACCGGGACACTGTGCCGTATTAGCCAGTAAGGAGAAACGAAGTTCGGACATGCACAGGACGGCCTGCGCAAACGCGACATGCTTGATGTTTTCAAGCAAGAATATCTGAACAAAGAGGTTGCTCTCCGGATGATAATCATTGACGGCCCAGGCGCGGAGGACGGTGCGCCGATCCAGCTCCATGGGATCGCCACCACGTTCCGCGAGGATGAAAACGGCGCACGCGTCCTTGAGAGCAACGCGGCTGAGGTCCTGGCGAACGAGCGCAGAGCCAACGATATATTTGACCACATCACGGTACACTGGGCGCGAGAGAAGCAGGTGCATGTCTGCGGTGATGCGATAGGGGCAGAGCACGACTATATTGGGGCGCTCGCCAATGGAGTGATAGAGCAGCTGGTCCAGAGCATCCTCGAGGGTCTGCATGTTGGCGTCACCCATGATCAAGACAATGTGCTTGGCACTCCAAGGCGTAGGTTTACGATAAGCACCACCCTTGGCCTTGCGATCCTCTTGCACAGCACTGATTTGGGAGAACTTGTCTGGTAGAATGATGAGAGTGACGACGATCATGCCCATGACAAAGAGTCGGCCAAGATAGGTCACTGGAGAAAAGTCACCGTAGCCGACGGTAGAGAAGGTCACGACCGTAAACCATATAGCCGTGAAGAAATTGAAATCGGTATCGCTTTCCTTCTCAAGATGCTCCACGCCAGCAGCGGCCGTGAGGATGATGCACACCAGGGTCACCGCAAGGTTGACCAGGCTGATGATGCGATCTGCAGCTTCTTCCTCGTCGCTCTCACGCGACTGTCCAGTATAGCCAGTGGCAGCACCAAGGTAAGGAGATACCGAAGGAGACATGTAGGTGCGCGGCGATCACCAAGAGGCGCGGGCTGACCTGAAAGTATGCCTGAAGAAGATTGAGGAAGGCATCACGAAGATTCCAGATGTGCAAAAAGGTCGGAACAATCAGTTGGCCTCCATTTAGGCCCCGAATTGCTCCAGAGAGGCTGGAGATTACAGCAAACAAGAGTCCGAGCGGGCGACCATGTTAATCATATGTGCACGCTGAACCAACACAAAGAGTCGAAACACAAGAGGCCTTGTGATCGGGTGAGAAGGAGTACAAACCGGATAATGGCAAACACAACAAGAACGAGGTTGATAATATCGCTGCCCGTGAGGACGCGACGAGCCCAAGCACGCAAGATGGTGTCACCCAAGGCCAAGAACACCAGGATGATAAGAATTGACTCGAGGTTGCCAATGAGAAAGGCCTGGACGATCGAGGTGAACAGCCATGAGCAAACACGCCCATTCGACCATAGAGGATATGTAAGAGGACGCTTCAGTAGTTCAAGGGCCAGGTAGCGGCAGGCGACTTACAAATCGGTTGCGATTGTTGTCATTCTCATCGACAATTTGTGCTGCAAAGGGGGAGGAAAAAGAGATGAGAGCCACAGGGAGGGGCGAGGAAGACTGGCTGCTTGCGGAGCTCAAGTAAAGCCACGCATCCTTTGTGGCTGACCGGAGACGTAAATAAAGAAGGAGAGGGAGTAGAGGACCATTCGTAGAAGACAGTAAATCTGGAAAATGTCTGTTGACCATAGAGCAGCGGATGACCGAGTGCGTGAGGTGCGTGCGGTGGCTGGTGCTGGCTGCGAAGACAAGAGGATGGTCATGCGTGCGTGCGTGCGTGCGTGTATGCGGGGACGGGCTTTCATTCTCTTGGCAAAGGTACTGACACAAGGCTCGACCGCCTTCTCCTTGAAGAGCGCCCTTGATAAAGCTGACATCGCGCTTGGGTCGATAGTGAACATCAAAGTCCATGAAATCTTGGATCCAGGTTGATGGGGCACGCAAGGTGAGATTATCGACTCAAGCTCTGGTGGCAGGGTGCGCTGGGCATGAATGGAAGGAATTCGAAGCGACCACAACCGACACGCACACAGCATACCTTGACTGCGGGCGCCAGCGGGAACGTGACTTGGTCGGACCTCTACGGGGTCATTGCAATGCTCCCCTACAAAAGATGGAGCATGCCCGGAAATGGGTAAGAGGTATTTCATGAAAAGAGGTTGAGCAACAAAGAGGTGGTATTGTGCTAGCGGATCTGGTTGCCGAGTAGAAAGCAGTGCGGGATGAGGTGGTTGATGAGGTCACTCTGGGACAAGCTCACCATCACGCGCGCTTTCCGCGACCATGGTAAAGGTGCAGCGGCCGGCATGAAACGTGGACAGGTATCTCTTTAGTGATGTGGGAAAGTAGCTTGCTGGTGAGATGAAAGCTGCGATCAAAAAGAGCGCCAGGGCACATGAGCGGGACGTTCGAAAATGTGTCCGAGGGACCAAAGCCACGTGTCACAGCGCTGCCAAGGGCTAGACACGAACCAAAAGAAAGCCTCAACTGGGCCAAAGATCAAGAGAGAAAATATCTGAGAAGAGTCGTGTTGCTTGCGAATCGTTGCAGCCAGTCTTGCCGCGATGCCCTGTGCTCTTGGCGATGAAAAGCTCCGGTTGGCTCAGTTTGAGCAGGCCAAGGCTGGCCGTGGCATATTACGGACAGATGGGGCGTGGTGGGTGTGGGGTGAGCTAGCCGTCTCCGACGTTTGTATTGAAAGTTGATGTGCAAGAGCGCATGATCGCCATTCATGCAGCCGCGCAAAAATCTGGGGTCTCGGGGCGCTGAGCCCGAGCCGAACCACAAGACTGACCGTTCAAACTTGCCCCAACGCCTCCGCCTCTGCCAAAGTCAGAAACCTGCAACACCACAACCCGATCAGCTTGTTGCCACCACTGTATCCAGCCATGAACAAAGCACACCACCGCCGCTGCCGCTGTCATCGAGTCGCCGAACTGGCTGCCTCCAGTGGCGGTCCGGGTCCTCTCTCTCTCTCTCTCTCTCTTTTTTTTTTTTTTTTTTTCCTTTTTGGTTTACATCTGAAATCGTGAAAAATTCTTTTATGGAGAGAGAGAGAGAGAGAGAGCGATTTAGAGGAGAGAGAGAAGAGAGAAGAGAGATTTAGAGCAGAGAGTCAGAGAGCGTGCGGTGCTCGAGTGCATGTTTAAGAAAGATTTGATAGGGAGAGAAAGAGAGAGAGAGAGAGACTTTTGTGAGAGAGAGAGATGGATCCAAGAGAGAGAGATTTGAGAGGGATGTGAAAGAGATTTGATAGCCAAAAACCAAACGTCATCACCGAGGACACACACACACACACACACACACACACACACACAATTCCAGAGGTGCATAAGGGTTCAGAGGTCAGTGAAGATGAGCAGATGAGCAGCTGAGCAGATGAGCAGATGAGCAGCTGAGCAGATGAGCAGGCAAGCAGCTGGAGAAGATGCGGCAGCGAATTGGGGTATGGTCACTTTATTCGGGCGTGTGTCTTGACGGAGGTGGGAGCAAGTGGCTGACTAGACTGATTGCAGGATCGCGGCCGGTTGTTGTTGTTGGTGTCCAAATGGCACAGCGCGGTTCAGATGCTTTATTACCTGGTGCTGGATTAGGGAGCAAAGAGTGACACATGACGAGGACATGGGGTTGACGGGCAATTAATTTTTAAATTTTTTTCTGTTATTATTCTTCCAAAAGAAGAAGCAACATCGCCTGGCCTCGCACAGCATAGATGTGTGCCGACAGTTGATATGCGATGTACCAGAGCCGGACTCGTCAGCTAGTTGGGGTGGTGGTGGTGGTGGTGATAGGAATATGGCACGTTGCCGTAAGACATGTGTCCTGCAAAAATGGCCAGAGCAGCAGGGGTTAGTTTTCGCAGAAACACCCACGCCCACATGTAGATGATGAGACATTCACAAGGCAAGCGATGGACTTCCAGCGGCTGCACTTTATGGTCTGAAGCGAGATCTACCTGGCATGGCGTGTTGGTATTGAGGCATCATAAAGGGCGGCTGTGGCTGATACATGACATTGTGTGGTCCTGGGGCGAACCCTTGATGGGGCTGCATGGGGGGCATCTGGGGATATTGGTACATGTGTTGATGTCCTGGCATCATGTGCTGGTGAACGGGCTGAGGTGGCAAGTTGGTCATGACGGGTGACGGCTTGACAAAGTTGGTGGGGACAAAGGGATCGGCATCGACATTCAACGTCATCTTCTTCTTTGTCTCTGCAGCAGGTTCTTTTGGGGTTGCTTCTGCCGCAGCAGAATCAGCAGGTTTGGAATCAGCAGGTTTGGGGTCGGCAGGCTTGGAGTCAGCAGGCTTGGAGTCAGCAGGCTTGGAGTCAGCAGGCTTGGAGTCAGTAGACTTGGCCCCGGAGGACTTGGCCCCGGAGGACTTGGGCTTGGCTTGGGGCTTGCTCTTGGGCTGGGTGGCTTCCGCCTTGGGCACATCAGCTCGTTTTGAAGAGGCGCTACTGCCGGAAGATATTTGGAAGCCATTGCTAAAGTCAATCAACTTCTTCAGTTCTTCCGTTTCCCGCCCGGCAGCCTTGCTGCCTTTGGACACGGCGGCTGCGGCCGTTGCGGGCGAGCGACGCCAGTTGTTGTCGTCGGATCGTTCTGCTGTTGCTTTACGCGAGGCGCCGGCACCACTTGGCTTGGTTGAGGTTGTGTTGGAAGTGGCACTGGGGTTGCGCACAACGGCTGAATGAAGGCTCTCTTCATCATCGGCGGGGGCATGACGAGTTGCCGTGTGTTGGTTCTTTTTTCCACGGTCGATATCCTTGGCCAGTTTCTCAGCAGCGCGGCGGCGGCGTTCAAAGTCAGGACCGCTTGTGTCCACGACGGTGGAGTAGTCCGTTTCGTTGTAACTCAGTGTTTCGCCAGTCTGTGCTTGGTAGGCATCAGCCATCTGTTTGAATGAATAGCCGCTCGTGTCATCGTCGTCGTCCTCCAGACCACCAAGGTCGGCGTCTTCATCATCATTAAAAGCAAAGCGTTCAAGCTCACGTTCCCCGCCGCCACGGTTCTTGGAGATGCCCACGTCGGTGAAGGCATCGAGATGAGCGCCGGATCCACTGCCGGCAGGGGTCTCTGCGGCCAGACCTCGTGCATCGAGGTTGGCACCGACGGCGAAGATTTGTGCCTGCACAAACCCGCGACAGAAAATGTCAGTTGGGCCATGCAGCAGAGTTGTCAAAAGCCCAGGGCTGACGGTGCGGCGGCGGTGCCCAAAAGCTTGCTGGCCGTAAAGTTGCCTCGGATGCACAGCAGGGCGGGCGGCCAAAACTTACAATGTCTTTTCCTTGAATGACAATGACCTCAATGTCGTCGCTGGGCTTCAACACCGTTGGCGGATCCGCAAAAGGCGCTTTGGCTACATAAAAAATTAGAGGTGAGAGGGTGGGGCAGGCAAGGTGTGAGTGACTCGTAGCGGCATGATGGGCTTGCCGACACGGGGAAGAGGGATGAGGAAGGCAAGCTCCGATCGAGCTCGGGTGCAGCATCCACACGGGATGGCTCCCAAATCTCGACAGATTGCGTAAAGTGTCAGCAAAGCAAAAAAGGCAAGCCTTTTGCTCAGCGTAAGGATGACTGCTGTTCGTCATGGCTTGCTTCCGTCATGGTCGTGGGCAAGATGGGGGGAGCCAGTGCGCTGGGCGTACCGTTGGAGGTTGGTTTGACGCAGGCGTGGCAAAGGGAGACGCCAAAATCATCGGCCACGTTGATGGCATTAAGCACACCCTGGTACACCAGGCCAGACTTGGTTTGAACCTAATGCCGCAAAATAGCAATCCAAAGTGAGTCGAGTGGCGGATCGAGCTTTCTGAAGGTGCTTGTGATAGATATATGGCCCCGGGCTACTGAAGGCGAAACCGGTACCTGGATGGGAAGGCCCACCATGGTGCAGGCCGCAAACTTGAGCAAGTCATCCATGCTTGGCGGTCGGTCAAGGGTGATACCGAATCAGGCAATTGAGGAAAAGAGCAAGACGAGGCCGGAACGTCGGACGGGACGATCAGAGCCCTGCAGCACAACAAGATGATGATGAGCGAAAAAGGTGTCGGAAACACGAGCTTGACTGGCAGTAAATGTGATTCACCTCCCCACACAAGTGTAAGTGTAAAGCCAGCTCAGGTCCCACTGGTGAAGGCCCAGAAAAGCAGTGGCGCGGTCCCTCTCCTCCTGAGACCGGCTGCCCTTTTTTTTTTTTTTCCGTCCGTGTGTGTGTGTGTGTGTGTGTGTGTGTACCTGACTGTTCAGTAAGAAATGACGTGTTGACAATTGCTGTTGAGAACAACTGGGCTCGATCACATCTCTGCTGAAATTCAAATCAGCCAAGCCTTTATTTTTCACTGTAAAACAATACCCTCAGATGCAAAGTAAAAGAGCGAGAGAGAGGAAAGAACAAAAGAAAGAACAAAAGGAAAGGCGAAGAGAGAGAGAGAGAGAGAGAGAGAGAGACACACACACACAGACACTAACACAGAGAGAGAGAGAGCTCGTTACCAACGTTCAAGTGACCGTTACAACACCACACACACACACACACACACACACACAGACAGACAGAGGAAAACATTTTTTTTTGTTGTTTTTGATCTGTAACGGTCATATCTCGCTGTACGTGCCGCTCTGTGCTCTGTGTGTGTGTGTGTGTGTGTGCGCCACAAGCTGCTGTGTGGTGGTCGTATAGCTCTGCGTGCGTGCGTGCGTACGCGTGTCTGTGGGTCGGGAGGGACGGGGGTGTCGCTGCCGTTTCTGATGTTGTGTGTGTGTGTTTGTGTGTGTGTGCCTGTGAGCCTGCCTGTCTGCGTGCGCGCGGGTGTGTATGGGCAGGCGGGGCTTGGGGTTTCGTGTCGTTCGTTGTCCTGCCGTGGCGTTGTCGTCGGGAGAAGAAGGCAGCGTGAGCCCTTGGCTGCCTGTCAGGGGAGAGTGCAAGACAGGTTTAGAGCGATTTCGGGCGCAGGTGCATGGTTGTAACGAGCACAGGAGACTGGCAACCCCCTGATTGATGCCCTGAACCTCACGATTTGGTCTTGTCCTAATATAGGCCCTCTCGTCGTCAAAGGAGTGACGTGCCCAGGATAGGGCGTTGACTACTGGGCTCTCCCACAACGCCAATCGTTTGGTGGCACCCGTGGTCCGTCTTGCTGCTAGTGCCACCAGCTGACAGCACCCTTGGCATGCATGCGTGTATCTTTTTTCTTGCAGCAGCTTACAAACAAATTTGCTTCGTTTTCCTTTTTTTTCTGACCTCAGGATGTCTCATCCGCCGCCCGCGGACGGCGCCTTGGCATCTTCAACGGTCTTCATGGCTACTCAAACTCCCCGTGCGCTCATGGAGTCAGCCATGCCCCAGTCTGGACAGCCGCAGTCCAAAGTAGGCCGGCCCACCCCCGTGCGCCGTTGTTTACCCCTCTCCATAGCTCGCAGATCATGTCATGCGCGGGGGCCCTTTCGTCCCTCATCCCCATCCCACCCATCGCCTGGACAACCGGTCTGAATAGAACCCGACGGAAGAAGTGACGCCAGACAATGCACTCTCCACCGACGGCAAAGCCTCGCGGCTTCAAAAGCGTCTTGAGTTTCACCAACAAGCCCCACCCACCCCTCTCAAGTCAACACCCGCCGCCTCCAAAAGCTTTTCACGTACGTCGCCCTACCTGCCACCCCTCGGTGCGATGCTGCTTCAAGTTACGCCATGACGTTTTGTCTTTGGCTCGATGGCTTCATGATGCAAATCGCCATACTGCCTTCTTGATCCCATATGGGAATTCTCATTTTCGCATTGGCCTTTCCTTCTGACAGAACAAGGACTAGACTTGGACGCCACTCCGTTTAAAAAGTTTCCTTCGTCCTCCTCCTTGGCCCTAACACCCACGGACATTCCTCTCTCGTCGAGCAGCGACGAAGATGAATGCCCATCTCCCAAGGAGGCGGCGTCACCTACCGCGCGCCAGCTGCCACAGCCTACACCACAACCTTCAGCCAGCACCCCGTCCAAAACCCCCAAATCCGCGACCAAAGCTGCCAAGAGCCCGCGACGCACCTCAGCGACCGCTCAACCAGATGCCGAAAGTGATGCCGAGCTCCCCGCACATTTGACTGAGCGTCAACTCATGCGCCTGCTTCAGGTGAATTTGTCGCTCCGATCTCGAGCCCTGTGTTTCCTTCCAATGACTGGCGGTCTGATTTGGCACGCCATCCCTTGAGCTGACCCCGTCCCGTGGCTATTGATTACTCCCAGGAACGAGACCGGCGTGAGCAAATGCTGAGCAACGTCTACAAGCGCAACCAGCAGGGTGAAACCCCCTTGCACGTCGCAGCCATCGAGGTACTCGCTCACGCCTTCAGCTTAAGGACAGCCTCCCTTCTTCTGCCTTAGTCGTATACCGTCCGCCTAATATTGGCTCCTCCGTATCGTACTAGGGGGATCTTAATCTGGTCCGCGACCTCATCAAGGCCGAGGCCCCCATCAACGCCACTGACAATGCCGGGTACGTTCTTGTGGTCTTGAGATTGTCCCTCGTGGTTGGTGACGACGTCTCTGATCGGACAACTCTTGCCGCATCCCTCAGGTGGACCCCCTTGCATGAAGCGTGCAACCACGGTCACTTGGAAATCTCTGAACTCATGTTGGAGAATGGGGCCAAGGTTGACGCCAAGGGCATGGGTGACGACACGCCCCTCCACGACGCTGCCATGAATGGTCACGATGATGTCATTACCCTTCTCTTCAAATTTAATGCCAATCCCAACCCGTACAACAAACAGGGCAAAACTCCCCTAGACGTGGCGTGCGACGAAGAAACCGAGGTGAGCCCCCCTTGATTCGCATTGTGAAGGCCAATACACAGTCTTAGGCTGCTCCAAAGCATCCGTCGATACCACCAAGAGTGCAGGCGTGCCAACGCCACTGATGCCTTTGCTCTTCCACTTGCCATGTCTGATTTTGTGCGCGCCC